CAGCCCCAGAGACTGCCTATCTCCGGGGTACCTATTCAATTTCAATTATTTACTAAGTGAACAGAACCTTGAGGTGAAAGGAAAACATGTCAATTTGTTTCTGCTTTGACCAAGATTCTTTTGTAGGACTTTCGGCTACGAATTGAAGTCTCCCCTCTCTTTCTCTCTCTCTCTTGCTTTCACTCTCTCTCTATCTATCTTCTCTATCTTCCTCTCTATCTCTACCCCAACCTCACAGTGAACTCAACTGGAAATCCATCGAAAAGCACAATCAAGGAGTCATACAAATTTGGCATGCAGATGCTGATGGTATCTACAACAAATTGTGTGAATTGAAAGAACCCCGAGATGCAGACCCTGATGCTATGGCTGTGGAAGAGACAAAAACAACTGAGACAATAACTGAAGTGGGGTTTACCATAACATATTTCTTACCAGAGGAAGCAACCGGTTACATTTTCCTTACCAGGAAAGAGACGGAAGAATTCTGTATCGTGCAGTGGGCTCATCTTGGCAATTACAATTAGGAAGCTTGTTTCCCACGCTAAGGTAATTTCTTGCGTTCCCATCAGTAGGTAGGAAAAGTGGATTACAGTCCCCAAGGTAAATGCATTTCCTGAGCTGGGAAATGTAGCCATACACGTTTCCTTCACCGAAAAAGGAAGCCAGATGCATTTCTTTCACTGGGCAATGCACCCAGAGCATTTCCTTTCCTGTGAATGCATCCAAATGCATTTCCTTCACCGGGAAAGACAAGGAGAAACATTTACCCATCTAGTAAGGTAACAACCAAACCTTCCGTCCTCGGCTGCCTTAGATGGCGCAGTAAGGCAAAAGACTCGAAACCATTATCAACTTTGCATGCTAATTCCGCTCCGGACTTGAGCCAAACTTCATTCCAGACAATTTTTGTGACATTTAATTCCGCTAGATATGCAGAGCCTTGTGAATGTTGGGTAATGTGGATGAACGTCTTGTCGGCTGACGTTCATAACGTTTGAAAATGGTTGGTTGATGTTCACGATGTTTGAACAGTTTCTGGTTGATATTCACGATTTTTAACAGTGGCTGGTTGGTGTACATGATGTTTGAATAGCAGGTTGCTGCTTTACATGATGTTTAAACAGTGACTGATGTTGAATTGATTCAAGCCGCACTCCATTTGTACGTACGAATTTGTACTCTAAATTCAAAACCTAACGTGCTCCAAATTCAAAACCTAACGTGCTTCAAATTCAAAACCAAACGTGCTCCAAATTCAAAACCTAACGTGCTCCAAATTCAAAATCTAACGTACTCCAAATTCAAAACCTAACGTGCTCTAAATTCAAAACCTAACGTGCTTCAAATTCAAAACCAAACGCGCTCCAAATTCAAAACCTAACGTGCTCCAAATTCAAAACCAAACGCGCTCCAAATTCAAGCCTAACGTAATCCAAATCGGATTCAATCGCCATCATAACTAAGCCTACGAATGATAATAGGTCGCTAATGCATATAATAATGCATTTACCACACACAGCTTAGCGAGGAACACATCCCCTCGTTGATGGACCCGGTTAAACAGCTTTTGACTAATGGAACTCCCATTTGCACGCTCACGCGTATAATTACGCTCGACAGACAGACAGACGCGGGCGTAATGCGTATAGTGTTGACAGCTGCTCCTATATCACTTTCAAACTCTAATTTGAACAATTTATGATATAAAAAAGGGCCATTAGTTACTAAGCCACGGCAATGTGATTTAAAAATGCGTTCAGCGGTTATTCTGCTGTGTTTTTGTTGTTGGGTTTTGAGTGTCTGCTTTTTCTGCGTGTTTGTGAAAGTTTTCCTCTTGTCTGCTTGTCTAGTTTGTCGTCTACTTTTATCAGTTTGTTGACCAGACCACACACTAGAAAGTGAAGAGACGACGACGTTTCGGTCCGTCCTGGACCATTCTCAAGTCGATTTTATCAGTTTGTCTGTTTAACTTATCGTCTACTTTTTTATTCGCCTGTCAACGGGTCTTTTTTCCGTTTTACATATTTTTATCTGGTAAATTTACGTAAATCAAATACAATGCAAAAAGGATTTTTCATTCAGAAACATTTATATTAAGCCTTTCTTTCACGCGCGAGAACCTATACATTAGCGAGAACTCCACAATAGCGAGAGCTCTCAAGACTTCTTTTTATACCGTATAAATAAAAAAATATGTTTATTTTATGTAACAAATCTTGCACTATCAAACTGTCTTCAATAAAAATAAAACATGACCAATCATCTTGTAATCACTGGTAAAACAGGCGAGGTTTGGTACAATCATACATACGACGGTGTACGTCGTGGGTACGACGTCTTCGCAAGGTAACGCTTCGACAAAGGTAGTTTTCTGATTGTCAAAACCACACATATCGTCAGGTTAGGATATATTAGTATAGAGCCGGCTGTATTAGGCTCGGTGTGGGCTAGATTAGGTTAGGCTGTTTTGGGTTAGAGTGCGTTAGGTTGGGTTACCTCTTGGCTTTAAACTCCGTTGGCGAACCGTCGGGTGTTCGCCACAACGGTTCGCTAGCTGGGACTTGTACCCTAACAGCCAGTAGCAGAACGGACACGAAAACAAATGTCTAAACAAACTCTCATACGCAGATCCCAACATGCTCAGCAAGGATTCCCGAAATTCAAATTTCCAAAAGGAAATTACAAGCAATAAAAGGGGTCCAATAATCAACTGGGAATAATCCGTAGCAGAGCCAAAACTGCAATGGGAAAACATCGTAAAAGTTAAAGATCCATTTTATAACATTCTGAGAGAGAGAGAAAGAGAGAGAGAGAGAGAGAGAGAGAGAGAGAGAGAGAGAGAGAGAGAGAGAGAGAGAGAGAGAGAGAGAGAGAGAGAGAGAGAGAGAGAGAGAGAGAGAGAGAGAGAGAGAGAGGGAGAGAGGAGAGAGAGAGAGAGAGAGAGAGAGAGAGAGAGAGAGAGAGAGAGAGAGAGAGAGAGAGAGGAGAGAAAGATCCATTGGAGGAGAGAGAGAGAGGAGAGAGGAGGGTTAAAGATCCATTTTGTAAAGAGAGGATTCTGAGAGAGAGAGAGAGAGAGAGAGAGAGAGAGAGAGAGAGAGAGAGAGAGAGAGAGAGAGAGAGAGAGAGAGAGAGAGAGAGAGAGAGAGAGAGAGAGAGAGAGAGAGAGAGAGAGAGAGAGAGAGAGAGAGAGAGAGAGAGAGAGAGAGAGAGAGAGAGAGAGAGAGAGAGAGAGAGAGAGACAGACAGACAGACAGACAGACAGACAGACAGACAGACAGACAGACAGACAGACAGACAGACAGACAGACAGACAGACAGACAGACAGACAGATAGACAGATGCGACGCTCAAAAGTCAGATGTCATGCTCTTACGTCAGATTTGATGCTCTGAAGTCAGTCGCGATCCGCTGAAGTCGGACACGACGCCCAGAAGTCGGACGCAGCGCTCTAAATTCTGATGTTACCCTGAAGTCAAACACGACGCTCTGAAATCACAAACGAAGTCCTGAAGTCATTCGCGACGTTTTGTATCCTAACACACGCTCAGAAAAAAGGGGATTCGGGTGGTTTCGTAATACTTAAAAGCATGCAAACTCATGAATGCATTTAAATAAACAGGCAATATACCTCCACTGGCGTCAAGGGTCGCTACCATACTGCACTGTTTCCCTTAAACGAGGCCGAGCGCAAAGCTACACAGCCTTCACCTTTTTCTGTCCTACTTGGGCTGGACGGTAGAGCGACAGTCTCGCTTCATACAGGTCGGCATTCAATCCCCAAGTGGTTGAGCACCATTCCTTTCCCCCGTCCCATCCCAAATCCTTATCCTGACCCCATTGCAAGTGCTATATAGTCGTAATGGCTTGGCGCTTTCCCCTGGTAACTCCCTCTGCGCCTCCACATTATTCCCGCCAAAATGTGTCTAGCGACGACTTCGGCGTCCCTCAAGATATTGAAGAGTATAATATAAAGGCACGACACAAGGTGTTAAATCTGTAGTGTTAAACACAAAAGAGAACACGAAACAATTATATAAATTGTGTAAGTTTAGATTTAGGAAAGGTTGTTGGTTTATGGAACCAATTACCGGGTAACATAACTGACGGGATCGTTGGAGTGTTACGAGTCCATTACGTTATAATACCAGTACTTACGGTAAGTATTTGGTCAAACCTGCCAATACGTACTCTTCCATCCCAAAAAGTTTCCGTTTTGTGTTACTGAATAAGCTCTAGTGGCATTCTAAAAAATTGAAGATTAAACTAAAAAAACATAATCTAACCATTCCAGCAACTTTAGGCCAAATACACGCTATCTTAGGCCTAATATATGTGCTATACTAGGCCTAGGAATGTTTAATTTTAGTTTCTAGCTTTTCTTCTTGTATTATACAAAATGAATATTACAGAACATGAACTTCTGAGGTCCAAAAATACATATTGGTACGCTTAACTAAACAGTCGTTATATGTACTATCGTTTTAGGAGGACGGGTTGGTATAATTCCCGTTATCAGTGACACTTAGGCTTATCCAAGACCTCCCTAGACTAACTACTGAACTCCCCAGGATGCAACCCACAACAGTTAAGTCAAAGTTACTTATTTTACTGCTAGGTGAAACAGATGCATCAGGTGAAAGGAAACGTGCCTAAACCTTTTCATACACAGCGCCTGAAATTACCAATAAATAGCTAAGGCTCAAGACACTAAGGCTGCATTCACCGTCTCAGAAGTCAGGTAATTTTAATGTTATCAAATAATTAAGATAAAAAGATAACTGCTCACGAGGCCAGAGATAAAAGGCAGTCAGTAGGGCGAGGAGGAGCCTGGCACGGTGTTCTCAGAACTGACTGACAACTGACTGACAACTGAGGAAGATTTGTAGGAAAACAGCGACGAGATCAGTCCGAATTACCAATTATCTTATTCAACTTTCTCCTTGTAAATGACACATAAGAAACCTGGGATATGAGGACAGGGAGCTTACAATATGTTGCACCATCACACATTATATTTCGGAATACAGATAACATAAATATTTGATGCACGTTATCTATGTAGTCGTCGACTCGGCAACGTTATCGCGGTGATATCAACCGGATAACGGTTGAAGCAACACTTCTAACCGCTGTACACCCGAGCAACTTGTTCTACACCTCTCCTCCTGTGTACCTGTGTACCTGTGTACCTGTGTACCTGTGTACCTGGGTGTCGGGATCTACACCAATATCTAACACCAAGTGAGGCAACTTGTTTTTATGTAGAAATGTGTGATTGGAAGAGATCCATAAGATATGTCTACACCTGTAATTACACCTGTGTACTCATCTACATATGTGTACCTGGGTCTATACCTGTGCACTTCGGAGGGACTACACCTGTGTACATGGCTCTACATCTGTGTGCTTGTCTACATACGTGTGCCTGCATTTGTACCCGTCTCCACACATGTGTAACTGAGTCTAAACCTGTGTACTTGAGTCTACACCTGTTTACATGTGTCTACAGCTGTGTACTTGTGTATACACATGGTGTAGATACAAGTACACAGGTGAGACAATAAGTTAACCTACAGAGGTTGATGCATAAAACGTTAATACTACGGTGCTTTCATTTGTAGTTATGTCGCATTTTTAACGGATTAGTCAATTCCGTAAAAAATGTGACATATTAGGTGAGAGAGCGGGCTGTTTTATTGTAGTGTAGGAGGTAAAGTTAGGTAAGGTACGGTACTGTTATGTTAGCTAAGGTAAGGTAAGGTAAGGTTAGGTTAGGTTAGGTTAGGTTAGGTTAGGTTAGGTAAGGTTAGGTAAGGTTAGGTAAGGTTAGGTAAGGTTAGGTTAGGTTAGGTTAGGTTAGGTAAGGTTAGGTTAGGTTAGGTTAGGTAAGGGAAGACGTATTAATGCATGGATGAAATTTTTATTTACCGAAGTTATTAAATATTCTCAATGGGAAAAGTACAATATATATATAAACAAAATCTTCTCGCACTCTATATAATATTAATAAATTTAGTGCAAAATAAGTATGTACCAAAAATTTAAATATTATTCTTGATTTCTTGTGTCTTTTATCAAAATAATTTATCTTGCTTTCGCGTTCACACATATGTATATTAATACTAATTTATTAATAATCAATGGAGGTGTTTGTCTGGTGCAGCAGACGATGAAGGGAGCCTGGTGGTCCTGGGTGGTGGGTGTGGTGTTGGTGCTAGGCTGCGCCCTCACTACCCTCTCACACCCTCAACTTCTCGAGGACGATTACTATGAAGTATTCGGAAACCCAAATGACACAACTACCTCTGACACTACTACCGAATTTACTTACAATTCTGAAACCACCACAACCGAGCCTTCCACTACAACTGAGCCTTCCACTACAACCGAGCCTTCCACTTCAACTGAGCCTCCTAGTACGACTATCACAAAGGCTTCAACTTCAACTGAACTACCAACTACTACATCAACATCTTCTACCACAACCACCGCAGTTCAACTGCCTCAAACAGGTAGGTTGAACGACCAACACGAACGATCACCACAATTACGAGTGAATTTGTCTCTTGTATCCACTAACCCGACGCTGCCTCCTGCCAATATAGACTATTAAAACAAATTATTCACACCGTAAAAGTCAAATACTAATTCATGTAGGTCTTTTTCTGTATATAGCATACACCCATCCTTTGGGTGGTGGTGGACACCATACCTGAATTTACCTGACGACCACTATCTCTCTAGTGGCCTCGACGAGGACAGGAAACCGGCGGCTTGTCAAAGCCCCCCCACCCCCATTTGTCTTGATTTTATATAGCTGGATTTTTAAATTCAACAGTTTTGGCATTTACGGCTTCGGCGGGTAGGCGGGTTCATAGGTTTATTATAACCATGAGGGTGAAATAGCATCTCCTGTTCTCTGTCCCACATTGTGGCTTGTTGAGCTTGAGATTTGGATTATTGTATCCAAGAGATTATTGTACCCACCAGAGATTTATAAAGTTGAATGTAATGCCCGTCTATATTAATCATAATCTATGTTGTTGTTCTTGGAACCTTCAGAGGTTCCGTTAGTTATTAAATCTTTTTTACTGCCTGTACTGTCCATCTAGTTCCCTTTTTTCTTCCTCCTTCTTGGCAAATATTTTTGAACGAGTTCAATGATGACCTTTTTTAAATTTTCCCCCATGATCAACTATTAACTCCCTCCAGGATATGTTTTGTATTTCCTCTTTCATTCCTCTTAGAGTCTCCTCAAGAGTGATATAGAATGTCATCATCCTGGACCCTTACACGGGTTTCTATAATTGTAATTCATCTTAGAATATTATGATCACACGAGGGGGGGTGAGCATTTTTCCTTTCTGAATATGATAGATTATGCTCTCTTCTGATGTTAGCAAAAGATCTAGAGATCTAGAGTGCCGTTGCCTCGTGTGGGCTCTTCCACATATGCTATGTGAGACAAGAGTCCTGTACCAGACATTGTTCTCCGGCTTGTGATGATAGATTTACCCAATCTATTTTCTCGAGTTTAAGGTCCCCCATTATAAGAGTGGGCTTCTGGTGCCGTATTGATCACATTATGTAAATAAACAACTTCCTCTGCTCATACTGTGTCAGCCCCGTAGCATACTCCCACTGTCAGTTTGCTACCATTATAAGCTAGTATGTTGCACCATACAGATTCTGAGGATCACATGGTGTTCAAAACTTCATTGTTGGTTACATTCAAGTCCTATTTTGCATATAGCATTACACCATCTGCTCTTGCTCTGTCCTTTCTGAATGGTGGATGATATAATGGAAGAATCCTTCAATTATGTTCTCTCGTCCGTCCCCATGATTCGTTGATGCCAATAATGTCGGGATTCTCAGCCGCATCACATTTTCACGTGCACAGAATGCATCACATTTATTTATTATTATTAGGCTTCTGGCATTTGTGTTGAAGCAATTTAGTCTTCTGAAGTTGTTACATGAGGGGCTGAGAGACTGCTCCTGTATTCTGCATTTACTATTCCGTACATTAACACACAGAAATCACATTAACGTAATATATGTCAATGAGAATACCCACTAGGACTACAGGTGGGCACGAATCTACGACCCTAACATTGCCAGTCGCGTACTCTACCACTAGACCATCGTTGACTTGTAAAAAGTCATACAATCGGATTTCTACTGAAATCACAGGAAATCTGTGATAGAGTAAGTCTAGGGGTATACTACCGACTGGTAATGCCTGGGTCGTAGGATCGCGCCCACCTATAGTCCTAGTGAATATTCTCAATCCGTACATTGTCACTCTGAGTTTGTACCAGCTTGTCTTCATCTTGTGTGGGGTAGTGGGCCCCATACCCTTTCTGTGGATGGTTGTGTACCCCCATACCAATCCTGTGGGGTGGTAATGTACCTCGTATCCATCCTGTGGTTGATAGTGGAGCCCAAACCTATCCTGTGGGTGGTAGTAGACCCAATATTACCCATCTCTTGGGTGGTAGCGTACTTCCATACTCATTATGTTGGTGATAGTGAGCCTCATGTTCATTCTGTGAGCAGTAGTGAACCCCATACCCTCCTATGGGCAGTAGTAGACCCTATACTCATCTTGTGAAATGGTAGTGTACCCCAATACTCTCATATTTTGTGGGTTACAGACAACCCCCTCCCATCTCAGATAACCCCATACCCTTCCCTCCCTCCTTACCCAATACAATGATTTACCGATTTCTCAACAGACGAAGCCTTGTTCCAGCAGACCTCTGATGTCTTAACTGACATCAGCAAAACCCTCGACACACTCATATCCAAGAAAAAACACAGTAAGATGTCACCCATACGTCATCCAGCTGGATGGTGGCGGATGCGGTCCCACCCACGCGCCCTCGCCACTCTTGTACCAACACCACCTGACGCTTGTACGGGTACCGGTAGTGATTACTACACATGCGAACATTTGATAAATGAGCTAAACTACACGGATTCTATTGTGAATTTTTTGGTGAATCAAACCGGGTATTGGAACATTATTGCATTCGAGCGCCTTCGACAAAGAGAAGTTGATCTGAAGTCAGCAGTGGATGACGCGCCCGATAGTCTCAGTGACATGGTCAACACAAACTTCTGGAATTATGTCAGCAGTGTTAAGAACGTGAGTACAACCAGTCCTCTTCCTCTTTTTTTTCTCTCTCTCTCTAATAGCTGAGTGGGAAAGACGGATTGTGGTTTTGTGTAATTTTGTGTTGCCCAGACGTAATAATAATAATAAAAAATATATAAATAATAATATACGTTGTATAATAATTGTTCAAAGTACTGTATGTATAATAAGGCCATGAATATGCAGAATGTTTCAGATATAACTTAGCATAATTCAGTAGGGTGATAAAGACCGTAATTATCAAAGGAAGGCACCAAGCCAGGAAGACTATGTAGTCTTCTAGGCTAGTGGAAAGGCTCGATGAAGCAGACAATACTAAACAGGACGAAAGCAAACAGTTCAAGACATTTAGCAAGTGATATACAGCTTTAAGGATGGTATAATGTAAAAATGAAAAAAGTGTTCTTATTTTCTCAATTATTCCAGTTTAGGGTCCTAAACTGGAATAAAACTAAATTCAGCATGTGCTGAATTGTTTTTCTCTTTTTTTTCACTTACTGCTCACACATTCTTGCGATTAATATGTCTAGCTTCCCAACAGGAAGACCAACAACAAAAATATCCATTCCTTGCATAATCCTTACACATTCTACTTCATCTTCCTTCTTCTTAGATTTACTTACTTTTCCCTCAGATTATGAGTTGAGCACAACACAAAAGTACAAATTCCAGAAAACAAAAGTAACTTCATTACACACAGAAATCACAATAGTGTGATGCATCAAATGAACAAATCCACAAGGGCCGTGACGAGGATTCGAACCTACGTCCGGGAACATCCCAGACGCTGCCTTAATCGACTGAGCTACGACGTGGTCAAAAAGAGCTGAAACCGAAGTTCTACGTTACTTACTGGATCCTGCAGCCTCCCCGAGACATTTTGTTCAAGAGTAACTTCCTTTTAAGCGAGAAGGAATGAGCTATCGGTGCTGGACGCAACATTTCAGAGACCCCATTTTGTCCATAAGGGTTTAACCCCTAAACAGCGCAGATATTTAAAAGTACTGTACTACCATCAAGGTGTTAAAGAATAAAGTTACCAAATCATAAAAAAACTGTATATGGCAACTGTAGCACAGGAGAAAATAGCAAATTGCGATCGTTGTAGTGTAAGGGTTACCCACCCCGTTACCTTTAAAAATTCTGATAGAGATCTAGACAGAAAACTATCATCTGAAAACCATATAAAGAACATCGTGCAAGAAGTTTATCCTACACTTTCCAATTGCTTTTAAATACATGGATGGTAAAATACTAAAGAAATTGTTCGCGACGTTTGTGAGACCAAAATGGGAATATGCAGCAGTTGCATGGTACTGTACCCATATCTTAAGAAGCACATAGACAAACTGGAAATGGTGCAAAGACATGCAACTAAATGGCTCCTGGAACTGAAAGACAAGCACTATGAGGAGTGGTTAGAGGCATTAAATATGCCAAAACAAGATAAAACAAAAAAAAGGTGATATGATCACTACATACATAATAGACTTCAAGAACAAGGGGCCATAGATTTAAGCTCACTAATCAAAGCTGCCGAAGAAATAAATGAAAATTCACTTCGCAAACAGTGGTAGATGGTTGGAACAAGTGAAGTGAGGTGGTGTTGGAAAGCAAAACCCTAAGTAGTTTCAAAGCATCTTGTGAAAAATAAAAGTGCTAGAAAGATGGGACACCACTAGCGTAGCTTTCATCCCATAACTACAATTAGGTAATTACAGACATACACACACACACACACACAAAGCTGAGACCTGGAACTTCAAGAATAACAGGTCATAGATTTAAACTAATTAAACAAAGATGCAGAACAAATATAAGAAAATTCACTTTCGCAAACAGAGTGGTAGACGGTTGGAACAAGTTAAGTGAGAAGGTGATGGAGGTCAAAACTGTCAGTTTCAAAGCGTTATATGACAAGAGTGCTGGGTAGACGGGACACCACGAGCGTAGCTCTCATCCTGTAACTACACTTAGGTCATTACACACACAAAGATTAAACGCATGAGCAAGATGAAACTAGGGTCATTTGCATAATTGACTGCAAATGAAAGTGACAAAAACTAAGAGTAGATTTAGGGTATCCCTAGTTAAATCCTTATGTGAAATTATGATGAAAATAGTTAACTTACAAAATCTGAACCCTTTATTTTATTACCAGGATGTGCATGAGGGAGAAAAAGTCACACAACAACAGTTGGATGGGATCAAAAAAACTAAGACCGACAAAATTGTGTTCGTATCTGTTATGGGAACGATGGGAGGCCTCATGATCATCGCTGTTGCAGCTATTCTGGCCTTCTCCTTCTACAAGAACAAACCTGCCAAGAAGCCCCAGAAAAAGGTAATCAAGTAATTTATACAACCCATCATAGAATATTTGTAACAAATATAAGTGAAGCATATGAAAATGGACTCTTGCAACCAATATTGTTCACATTTTGTACTATTAATTTTGTACAGGGAAAAAAATCCTAGGCCTAGTGTAGCACATAGGTACTATATTATGCCTAGAATTGCTTAGACAGGGTAGGTTAAGTTCTTTAGCTACTGTTTCATTTTCTTAGTACTGTATGCCATTTGGGCTAATTCAGTAATATGAACACTTATGGGTCTGCCATTTTGTACATTAGACCATATACTGTAATTGTTATAAGTATTATCATTATTGGAAGATGGGCTGTATTTATATTAATGCCATCCATCTTCAATGACTCCCTTATTTGTGGGTCCTGTAGTACAATGGTTTGTCTTCGATTCACAATTTAGTATTCCGGGTGCAATCCTGTGGCAGGACAGAAGTGGTTGGGCACGTTTCCCTTCACCTTAGTAAAACTTCCTACTGTACTATAGTGTGTGGCTTATTTGAGTACAAAGTTTCCACCCTTGTCCCCTTGGGCAGAACACAAACAAAGGGACAAGTGCAAACTTGGAACTGTATCAGTAACAATGCATTATTTTATGCAGATAAATATTTTGATTGCGAACTAGTCATAAACATGACATTAATTTCGTTGCAGGATAAGCAAGCACACCTTGACGACGATGACAACAAGGACAACAACTATATGGACATGCCACCAAGAGCAGATCCCAACCGCAGGCCATCTTCCTCCGGGGATGACATTTATACCAGAGCACACGCTCCCATGCAACACCGTCATTACTCTGCTAATGACTACAAGAACAAACCTCTACGGGAATCACACAGCAGGCCCAGCACGCGGCCTGGAGGATACTCGAGGGATGGTTACAGAGACTAAAATGTTTATTACACACTTACCCAAAACCTTAACAAATATCACAAATAATATTACAAAGTGTCCCCATACACTGTCAGTTGTTGATTAGCGTAAAGCTGAAGGACTTTCATTTTTTGGAATTCATCTAATGCAGCATTTCTTAAGAGTTCCTTGGAACCTGAAGTTAACTAGGTGGTGCCACAAGTGATGAATACATAATAAAATACATTTTATTGTGTATCTCAAAAAATACATTTGCATTCTAATCATAGGCAAATGTGTTTTTGAGTCTTTTTGTGTTTAGTTTTTCTCATCTAATCATTGTCAAGAGCAAAGACAAATTGTCGTCATTCAGTTAACAATGAAATCCATGTGTTTACCTAAAGTACAACCCAGAATTATTTCAAGGGTACAAAGGTTGAGGAATGCTGATCTAATGTATCCTTTCAAAGATTTTAAATATTATGTAGTTAAAATTAGCTAATGTGTAGAAAAACTAAGCAGAGAATGTCATTAATGTAGATACTGCTTTGCATGTAAATGCATTTAACAAATATAACCTTCTACAGGCCACATCTTTACTAGTCTACTCTGTTTGGCATTATTAACCATCGTTATGACACCTCACACCGGGGTACATGGGACTTTAAACAAATTTATGCAAGAATAAAAAAATTATATAGCACTCATTCTTTCAAAGAGTGATGATATTAATCAATAACATCATTCTTCCAAAGAATGAGCGTTAATACTAATCAATAACATCATTCTTCCAAAGAATGAGCGTTAATGCTAATCAATAACATCCACATTGATTAATATTAACAATTTATTATGTTACTAGTTTCGTTTTGGTGGTAGACTTGAGAGCTCTCAACCTCTTGAGCATTATTTAGACCACCATAATAGCTTCTTAGCAAGTACACTTCAGTCCTACCTTGAGATGGTTCCAATGAACAATGTCTTCCAATCACTGTATATACTGTATTTATATTATAATACCTCTTGGTATTTTAAGATGTATTATTAGTACTTAATAACCTCTTAGGCCATTAAACAATGTGACAAACAAATGTTACTAGAAACCATGATGTGGATCAGGAGATCCAGATAAACAAGGCAAGTCTCAAATACTGTATAGTGAAGCAAAACAATACAAGGTTTAAAGAGAAACTGATAATCTCTAAAACAAAACCTTGATATTTTGTTCTGGATCAAGCCCCAATTCCTGTCAAGAGTACAGTATATCAAGTAAGTGTCATCACTGCAACTTGGAGGGCTAGCCAAGGAAACGTTTACTTGGGGTAATACTATCTTAGGCAGCGGGGCTTCCTAAACTGCCAAATAGTTCACCCATAGGTGAATTAAATTATTTTGGGGGTTTTTGTTCGTATGACATTTAAATATAAAATTATACATATGGGAGAGCAAGACGTAAATTACCAAAAACGCAAGATAATTTAGTCGCGAGTGAATGACATTTTGTGATAAAGACTTGGGGTGAATGAGACTGTTAAACAAGCAATGCCTTAGTGAATACATGCATAAGATGCACACTTACTCACATCATAGCAAGGGGACCAAAAAATTAAGAATAATTTCTCATCAGATACCTCTGTAAATATAACAAAGGACTGACCTGGCTGAAAATCATTTGTTAGAAAAGAGAACCTTAACTTTATTCTACATAAGGGATAGGCAATAGAAACATTAAAACCATAGCACAATTTCATTCTGGTGCCCCCCCCCCCCCCCCAAGTCAGTCTTCAATTACCCAAGTGAATGATAAGTACTGTATTACCTGTACTGTGGATTACATCTTATTCTACAAATGGTTATAATAATTTTTACCAAATAACACCTTTGTTAAGTTTTCATTCAAGCACCTCTACTAATTATTTACCTAGTATGGTTAAGGTCACACTGGATGTTATGTGTGGGATGAGTATTATCTCGGTAACTAAATTCGGCAGTTTTGTTGTAATTTGTCTAGCAGTTACTATCTTAGAAAAAAAAAAAGATGCTGTCCTCAAGAAAATCTTGCCATATTTTCCAGCAGATAGGATGCATGTCTTTTATCCACCACAAACCAAACATACTATACATATTTACATGCACAAAATCTCACGTTTCCTCCTACAAAATTATGTTAAAATAATTTTTAATACTGTATATGGTGAAACATGCTTTTGGCATTTGTGAATAAAGTATTATTCACAAAAGTATCCTTGTAAATTAGGTGCATCTAATATGCTGGCAATTACAACTGGCATCGTGTGTTGCTGCAGTTCAGGAGAAAATAAAACCGATTTCAGTGATGGTTTATTTATTATCACTCCTTTACTTCTACCTCAAAGGTTTTAAATATTGGTGAGTGACAACATATTTATTTACACAATCTGTACATTTACAATGTCATAAGAAAATCTCATTTACACTTTCAAAGTTTTGCCACTGGTTACACTTGCAGAAAATAAGAACTGACATTTATAAACACCAGAACGGATTGGAATTAGATGAAGCCATTACTGAATACATGGCATCCTCAAGTTCAATTACTATAAGGCCAAAGCTCAAGTTATCAAGACTTCTTATAGCTAGGCAGCAGCCTTAGGTGCAAGTGACTTCAGATCAGCAAAGCACTGCTTGAGGGCTGCAGCCTCCTGGGCTGGGGTAATGGAAGATTTGACACTGTTAACAATCCAGTTAACCATGTGCTTGTGTTCCATGCGAGTCTTGACATTAGCAGTCTCAAGCTGGTAATCCAACCTCTTCTTTACCTATAAAAGTAAAAACATTTGGAGGGTGGAGTACATTTTAATAGATCGATACTTTAATTTCCATTATGTTAACTATATTCACCACTAATTTTTATGCCAGTAATTATGTTGCATTAAGCTAAAACCACAAAATGCAAATACGTATACTTTTGCACTGGGTTATGTAGTGACACTGGATGGACTGCTGCGACATTAATAGTGTTGCAGCAACCACAAAATTTGCTTGTAACTTTGTAGCATTTGTAGGAAAAAATGAAGAAAAGGTATCCATATGAGCCATCCTTAATAAAGTACTAATGGAACTAAAGTGTTTCCCAATTAATTGTGTACTGGACAAACACTAGTCAAACATTCACTTAAACATTCATGTACACAGTCACATTAACAAGATATCTCTTACCTCACTGTAGACCTTTTCAAGCCTCTGTCTGTAAGCAGCTTCTAATTGAAGAGCCACATTTTCCCGTTTGGCATCGAACAGAATTTTCTCACCCTGAGCTGACCACTGTGCCGCCTTCTCCCGTTCGATGGAATTCTTTATGCCTTCAATACTGTCTTTGCGGTAGTTCACCCAACTGCCTTCAACATCCTAAAGATGTAAATAGTTATCGAATGAAGGCACAAAGCCAAAAGTCTTCAGGTTATTGAGAGATATTCAAAAGGTCCTAAATAACCCCCTAAGATTTCAATGTTCTGAATAAAACAATGTAATTGCATAATACTACCTGATGGGAAATGATATAAAATCTGAATTTACTCCAATTTGCAGTCTAATATTAAGGCAAATTGTCATTCAATTAAGAAAAACATTCAAGGGACCTATAACCCCACACACCCTTCCCCCACCTTCCCTCATAAAATATGCAAGACAATTTCATTCACTAAAACTACAAGTTGATTTTTTTAAGCTTTCAGATGATCATATTAGTGGCAGAAAATTATCATAGTTGTGTATGTATTTTTGCAAGTCATTCCCAGTTCCAGGACATGAGCCCTTTTTTTTTATTTTTAAACAAATTCAGTTCAAAAGCAAAACAGCTTACTCAAAAGTCACGCTATAGTAATTTCCCAGTGTATTATGATTTTATAAGTGACAATGATAGAAAACTTGTGCACATGACATTTGAAATATACTGTACTTCAGGTAAATGATTACAATATTTTGTTGAGTTTTGTTTAAAAAATTTTGCACCAAATTCCAGTTCGGTCAATATGTGGTCTCGTTCCACCAACAAATCAATACCGTACTTTCAATGCAACTTCCGTTCTCGAACAGAACAACCAGGTTCTGTTCAAGTGAGACGACTGCAGCCGTCATTTTCCCTGAAAGACAGCTCTAAACCTGTCCCATAGGAGTGATAATCAAGTGTCAAGGAAAGTATCTTCCAATGAGAAACTAAACAACTGCATGTTCAATGATGACAGATGGCTTAAAATAGAAATATATTCAGACAGTGCAGTCAACTAATTTTCTTATTTTGGAGAATAAAATCTAAAAATTATCATGGAAAATACCACCCAAACAAGCCAATATTGACATCTTGCTTGTTTCTGGATTATACAGAGCGATAATTCTCTTATGAACTACAAGCAATAGGCTTTTGTTGTAAAGTAGGGACATACCAAAAAAACATTTAAGAAATTTACAACCCATCCTCCGAAATGAGAGTACTTATAGCAACTATTTGTTGAATGTACAAAAATTAACCATTATACCAAAACAGTACAAGTTTTGTACTGTTGGAATACTCCAAACGTATTCCAAACAGTGGAACAGTAATTATACAACCAAACCTAACATGTCCTAGGCCTAAATATGCACACCTAAGCCTAACCTAATAGCTGTATGTGCTATACTGTACTTGCACTAGGAAAGTTTAGGTTTAGTTCCCTTTTTCATACCCGACAAAATTCATATTACAAACATATACTTGAGTAAAGCATTACATTTTTTAAAGTTCAACCAACAGTTGCAGAGGATTATACTTTTTTGGACAACAGGTTGGAAATTTAATCATTCTACTGTTGTGTAAATAACTACTTACCTCAATTTCTTTGTCAAGATATTTTGCAACAAGAGGACCAAATTTCTTAACAGCATATACCACCATTATAAATATGGAAAGTCCAGTATAGTACTCGTGCTCCATGACAAATATTTCCTTGGAGCACAAGTATGTTGTTAGTCCCACACCCAGCATGTATGGACCTGTTGAATCATTAACATTTGTGATACACCTTCAAAACAGATTTACACAGTAACAATTAAGACTCGAATCACAGCAAGAGACGCCTGTGGCTCCTAACAAAGAGACTGCTGTAGCTCTAACAAGAAATGTATGTATGTAGCTACATTTGTCATAGTTAAATAAAACCATTAAAAGAACTTCACAAATTTGAGCAATACTTTTGCAATTTTTAATTATATTCAATAAAATCTTAAAAATCCATATAAATTAAAATAAAAACTCAAAAGAATTTGAGTTCTTTTGAGAAAAAAGATAGGATTTAAAATGGACAAAAACTTGGCAGATGAAGTTCCATGTTTAAAAATGTAGAGTATTTACTGAGCCTAGTTAATAATATATGAAATGCTAGATATTCCCTAGAAAATTTAATAATTAAATACTTATGAGAGACGATCAAAGTTACGATTAGTAGGGCTCTCTAAGAAAAAAAAAAATCAATGCATAAATGTACAGAACAAGGCAAATAGGATACTAAGATATATTTCTAGAAGCAATGGCAATAAAATATCCAATATGCTATTTTATCTTAGTCTTGTTTGGTCCCATTTAGATTACACAGTTCAGTTTTAGTGCAAATTTCAGAATAGACCAATTTACTCGAGCTCATACAGAAAACGATGACAAAAGTTAATCCTTGTACTGTAATTAGAAAATTCCTTTAAGAGATAAAGCTTAATTTACACTAAAAAGGCAATGGATGAGATGACTGAAGAATACAAATGGATGAAAGGCGTTGAATACTGTACTTTCAAATCTCAGGTAATCTAAGTGGATGAAATAATATTACCCATGCTAGTGGGCTGCATTTTGCCCTATACAGTATTATAGTTCAACTATTAATTAAATTATTTCCAAAACAATTTTTTTTTTTTACCAGCCTAAAAATAATGAAACAATGATAAAAAAGGGATGGCCATGAGACTGGAATAAATAATGTTGGATACAACTTCTTCACAATTAGAATATGACACTACACCGATGAAAGTCAACAAAATTAAACCTACCGGTCACACCCGTCTTCGGGTAAAGGAACTGGAACCATTCTTCAGGAATGAAACCCATACGCACTTTGCCGGGCTCAATGGGTCTAACCCGTCGAGGAAAGTTGACTACATCCCGCTCCTCAGCTCTGTTACTAGCTGTTGTGCTTGTAGGCCGAATTACCACCAAGGCAGGTCGTAACTCTTGGACTGATAGACAAAATACTGTATTACTATTGATGAAAACATTAAATTTTGCATATAATTTGCTATTAAAATACATTTAAATCATACCATAGTTGATCAAGGTAACATGATGTGTTTGGCATGTATTGGTTGCATTTTCAATACAGTAGGCACTTGATTTTAGTGATTGGATATGGACAGTATAGTATTTATCGTGTTGGTACTCAGCCACATCTTAAATTCTTGTGGATGCCCATGGTCCTTGGAAATCAAACATACTGTAATATGCATGTCTAAATTGGCAAAGCACCTTCAAAAAAAAATTGTCATGGCCAACAGCTGGCTGGCTCCGAGGTAGCTGATCCTAACTCGGTCCACCAACTTATATAGGTTAATTACTAAGCATTACATCTAAGAAATATCAGTAAGAGCCATGTGGTGGATTCGAACCTGCACAGTTGGTACTCCTAAGCACACACCTTAGACCACTACTTCACAACATGGTCAAAAGCAATGCAACCTAGGATTCAACCGAATCATTTAGAGGTCCTGAAGCTTTTGAACCCCAATCAGGACCCCCTGATTGGGCTTGGGCTACTGACTGAACCATGTTAGGTATCCAGATACTGTTTTAAATACCAGTAAATTGGTATTCAGGAGTTAGTCAACTGTTGTGGGGTTTCATCTTGGGAGGGTCAATAATTCAACCTTCAGGGGGGGGGGACTACTTTACAAGCCTAATGCATATAATTCATTGTTTCGAGGGAAAGGAAGCCGGAGTGTATTCATACAAGTTAGGCTTATATCGAGGTCCCCCCTCAGGTCGAATTACTAACTCCACCCAGGATGCAACCCCACAACAAACTGACTTACTCCTGAGTATCTACTCACTGCTAGGTGAACAGAGGCGAAAGGAAATGTGCCTAACCTTTTCTGTCCCACCCGGGATTCAAACCCCGATTTCTCGATTGTGTGTCGAGAACTCGACTGCCCTACCGGGACCCCTCAATATACACACACACACACACAGGCTTCCTGTCCCCAACAATAAGTACTATAAAACAAGCATCTGCCCGAGAACCGACTGCAGTTCCAGCCAGTTACAAGTCGACTACGATAATGGAAGTTGACTCAAACTATTGGTCTGGACGCAACACTTACACCAGGTCAAGTAGGTTTATAATAAAAAAAAATAATAATGGCCTCAACAGTAACCACTCAACATTATTATTTTAAACATTATTAAACAAAAAGCATACACTTTTGTCTTTTATATGTGTATAGTGTCAAGGTGGGTGTGACACCAAACTGTTTTTGGGTGTGATTTTGTTAAAAGTGTTCAAGTGAGAGAAACGCCGGCGTCGTCCCCACGGTTGTCTGCCCCTCCCTCCTTCCCGGGGCCGCACCTCACTACCCACTACACTCATCACTCACAACTTGTCCCGCCTCATGTTTCCCTCCGTGGAGACAATGAGGCAACAATTACCAGAGCGGGTGGCTAGTCTGGAGAGCATTGTTGTTGACTCCCGGCAGCTGCTCTGCTCTCTGACCAAGATGGCGACCACCTAGTCAAATGACACTCACATCAATACTTATATATAACAAATATACCTAATTACAATTTATATCACCCTACATTTCATACTTATTTGCTATAGTAGCGATTTATTAGTTGAAAAATTTTTTGACAAGCTACTCTCAGGGCTAATACTAATGACATACAATTGATTAAAAAAAATATATATCTCCTTGCAATATATAATAAAATAATTTAAATATTTAAAATAACCTCAAGACATAATATAATTATTTACGTCACCAGTTCCCCAATATTTTAGCAACAATACATACATTATTATACTAAGCATCAGCTGATGTGGATGTCAGCTGATTACCAAAACAACACAGAGCAGACGGTGGGTCTCGCCCCATTCGTAGTAACAATTATTTTATACAATAGACATTTAAACATATTAAGGTGGAGTATTAGTAGGTACCCAAAGTGTAAATTCTATAAAGCCACTAATATTCAGAGCGTTTCGGGTATAACATTGACCCCCCTCGCGGGCCTTAGTGAATTGTTTTTTCCATTTGGCTTGAAGTGTGCCTGCCAGAGTTTACCTCTTCTGCACCTACTATCAAGAAGAAGAGTTTACCTCTTCTGCACCTACTATCAAGAAGAAGAGTTTACCTCTTCTGCACCTATCAAGAAGAAGAGTTTACTTCTTCTGTACCTACTATCAAGAAGAAGAGTTTACCTCTTCTGCACCTACTATCAAGAAGAGTTTACTTCTTCTGCACCTACTATCAAGAAGAAGAGTTTACTTCTGTACCTACTATCAAGAAGAAGAGTTTACCTCTTCTGCACCTACTATCAAGAAGAAGAGTTTACTTCTGTACCTACTATCAAGAAGAAGTTTACTTCTTCTGAACCTACTATCAAGAAGAAGAGTTTACCTCTTTTGCACCTACTATCAACAAGTTTACCTCACACCTCTTATCATCCAGGGTCACTGGCTGACCGTAGATAATCTACCATTTAGTTCTCTGTGTAGGCTGGGGGGGGGGAGGAGGGGGATCTTGCACTTATCATCTTGGGATAATTCCTGAGGATCCCAGGGTTTATCCCAGGATGAGACAGAGAAAGTTGGCTACATTTTTTCTCGCTTGAGGAGTCAGACAACTGTTGTGGGATGCATCCTGTGGAAGATCAGTAGTGGGTCTAGGGGGGGGGGGAGGGACCAAGATAATACTGACATACTTCCTACTCCCGGTTATGAAAAAACGATTACTAAGTGTGTGTTTATTTTTGCAGATAGCAGGATGGGGGCACTGTTATCATGCTGTGGTGGCGGATCTTCCTCCTCCTCAGACTACAACAATATAAATGATCCGGCTGATCCTGTAAGTTAGAGGAGAGTATGAAGGATGCCATCACTCATGTATGAGGAGAGTATGAAGGATGCCATCACTCATGTATGAGGAGAGTATGAAGAATGCCATCACTCATGTATGAGGAGAGTATGAAGGATGCCATCACTCATGTATGAGACGAGTATGAAGGATGCCATCACTCATGTATGAGGAGAGTATGAAGGATGCCATCACTCATGTATGAGGAGAGTATGAAGGATGCCATCACTCATGTATGAAGAGAGTATGAAGGATGCCATCACTCATGTATGAGGAGAGTATGAAGGATGCCATTACTCATGTATGAAGAATAGTCACAGATGTTTGAGACAATCATGTTATGATTAATCATACATTGACCACATGCAGCTTACAGCATCCAAATTTGAATTAATGAATTGTGTTGCATATTTCTCAAAACTTGGGGAAAACTTTTCATCACAACTTAAACTTTGTGACACAGGAGGCTCGTCGGAAACAGATGGCAGAAGCAGCCGAAGCACGGATGAAGGCACAGGAAGGCCGAGGCGTCAAGAACCCAGAGGCACTAAAGCAACGACAGATACGCATGGAGGAGCTGGAGCGCAAACAAGAAGCAGCAGGAAGAGACCAGGGAGGTGGACTTAGGGTACGTAACTGTAAATATTGCTCATCGAGTAAAATAAGGGAAATATGTTGTACTATGCCCTACTGTATTTCAAATTATAAACATAACTACATTGGCAAGTATTACTCAACACAATGTAGCCATATACTTTCTGACCAAATTCTAGTACTATATGCAGTATATGTATATACCCTGTATATATAATATACATTTTAATGTGCCACATTTTTTCATAATAACACTTCTGTACTGTATGAGGGCTGTCATTCCATGTAATTTGCTTATTTAACAGCTTACAACTAACATCCATGATGTATAATTATCACACTGTCTCCCCCAATACAGAATCTTTAACCTTCTTTTCTTGAAATAACTTCCAGGAATTTGTATTACAGGGGAGCTAAATTTACAATAGGAGGGAGTAATATTATAATAAAGTGTATGGGCCCAAATACAGTTGTCTTTTCTGGGGAGGCGGGACACTGAACTAGCTGATGGTTTGCTCATGGGGCACTGAGCGGACCCACCAGAAAGAGGCATTTTGTTACTTTTAAAGCTGGATTTTATAACATTCAACAAAAATGTCACTTAATTTAAGCTTACAAATAATTTTGGTTGTGAATGAAAACTTGCAAAATTACATATTTCTTCAAATGAAATATATTTTTAAATTACTGTATACTGTCACTAGGGATCATACATCAGATCTGTCCAACTCTAAAACGGTCACTAAATATATATTATTTTCCTCTCTATCTGGTCTGTTATATGGTAGCAACTTGCCTTTGTTGTGTCTGTTGTCTCCAGAAAAAATAAAAACTCCAATTGGCTCACAATAATTTTACAGAATCTTCCATTTTAAAATAATTAAAGTTTCAATTCCCTTTTTACATTTTTATTTGATTTTTTGTCTTATTTCAGTGGCAAGTGAATTAATTTGAAGAAGCTTGCTATCCACTACCTTACTTCATCTGAGGATCCTCTGTATCTGTCAGACACATCTGATGATCCAATGTATTTGTCAGATGTCTTCAGCAGGCATCAATCATCCTACTCAACAAATGTCACAAGACACCCATCATCTTATTACATTATCACAAGACATTCATCTTCTGACTATAATTACACAAGACTCATCTTATAGTCTATGATATCATAAGATGGTCATCATCATACTCTAAGGAGATTGTAAGACATCCATCATTGAATTCTACAATATCACAAGACTCCCCATCGTCATATCAGTACATACAAACTTCAGAAGTATTCGACCTGACAACTTTGGAACATTTATTAGGTAGATTACGTCAGTGCATTGCATTAAAGTAGCCTGAACAATTTAAACAGGGTTCTGAATATCACAAACTTGGTTTCGAAACTGTTGGAACAGGTCAGAACCTGCAACAATGGGGTACAAATGATTCATTTTATTTTAGAGGGACAAAGGTAAGTACTGATTTGGGAATAGGATTTTATACAAATGGAATAGATCGTCAGCTAGGGTTATTGTGACAAACAGTTGAACAGGTTTCAAGAATAGATTGAATAGGTATAAGGACTAGAGAGGGCAGGTTTAAATGGGGTCTGCTGAGTATGAGTCATAGACCTCTTGATGTGTTCCTTAATTCTTATTGGTCTTGTAGCACAGTGGTCTACATCCTCTGCTCACGATTGAGGGACCCCTGGTAGGACAAATGGTTTACCTAGCAGTAAAATGGGTACCTGGGAGTTAGTCAAATGTTTTGGGTTGCATCATGGAAAAGGTCAGTAGTTCATCTAGGAGGGACCTGGATAAGCCTAAGTTCAAGCTGCCTGTCCCTGACAATGGGAATTATCAAGTTTGCCACTAATGCAGCAAAACATAAATTAAAACATTCTCAAAACATTTGAGAAAATAATTGTGAAACACTTTCTTCATATTAATGTAATTATTCACATTCATAAAATCAGGAGGGCTTGATTTCCAAAATAAATATTTTGTTACATTTTTTGACTAGAAGAACTTCTTATAAGGCATGTGAAGATCCAATATGAAGGATCTGAATAGCACTAACAGAGCCATGTATGTGGCAGCACCAGTGGAGAACCATTGATAATGAATGATATATATGATTCATTTTTTATATTAAAAAAATTGATATATATGATTCATTTTTTTTACAAAGTATTTAGCAAAATGCATAACATGATTGATTCGGTTTCTTATTACTGTACTGTTAATAATGAAAAGTTATGACAGTGCTTTTGACATGAATCAAACCTTAAGCTGCTCATGTAAAGGGTAGTAATGGTAATGGAAGTCATGCAAAGGATGGTATTGATAATGTAAGAGGTCATATGAAGGGTGGTAATGGAGGTGAGAATCTCATTCACTGTTAATTAAGCTCAGTGCTGGTATATAGTTATGCTATAAAGCAGCAAACAATTACACACGACAATAATAATAGTTTATTTAAAAAAAAATGTATACCGTATCAAAAAGTAGTGTAGCAAGTGCTGATAGTGGAGAATATAAAAATATTAACATAGGTACTGCATTAAGTACCTGAGAAAGTGCTAAATATTAGATGCCCTTTGTAAGTTACTCAAGGGGGTTGTGGCATTATAAGGAACTGTTACAGTACATTGAACCTTTACATTCCTTTTATATTCTCTGCTTTCCAACTAAGTTCGCTACATAGGTTGTAAATTGTTGATGGAAATTCTTTACAATCATAATGTGTATACAAAAAAGTTAATAAATGTAATCTGACAATCTTGTTTTTTATGCTGTTGTATTGTTGAGTGTAATACTGTATACAGTACCTGTACTGTAGTGTATTTTGTGCATGTAAAGATGAATTCCATGGAATGCAAAATTATTAATAATCACAGTAATGCAACTGAGGATCTTAAATTTTGAATCTGCACATTTTAGCAAAAGCACTTGTATAAAAATTATATTTTAGATTAATCTGGTTTTTATTAATTATACTAATGAAGTTAAATTTTACTATTCCAGTGAATATATTTATAAAGAAAGTTACATTATAGCATAATTAATCTAACAAAAAATTAACGTGTTTAGAAATCAAACTGAGCTGAAGAGTTTGTGAATATTAAGAAATAATAGTGGCTCTTGTTGTTAACAAGATTATTTTAAATGCGACTTGATTTTCCTCCTCAGCCTGTGATGTTGCAACCCGTTCTCGCAAATTTAATAAGTCAATATTGACTTATTGTGAAAGTGAATATTCGCAAATTTAATAAGTCAATATTGACTTATTAAATATGTGCATAGGTGACATACTTAACATAATAGTTTCCCTTGAAAAGCTTCATAGAAAACACCGACCTTACCTAACCTACTTAGTATGTTAAGATAAGCATCTTATTGCTTCGTAATTACAATTATTACCTAACCTATACCTATAATAGGTTAAGTAACAATTGTAATTACGAAGCTATAAGGTGCTTATTTTAACATACTAAGTAGGTTAGGTAAGGTCGGTGTTTTCTATGAAGCTTTTCAAGGGAAACTATTATTTTTTGAGATATATACAAGAATTGTTACATTCTTGTACAGCCACTAGTACGCGTAGCGTTTCGGGCAAGTCCTTAATCCTATGGTCCCTGGAATACGATCCCCGCCGCGAAGAATCGTTTTTTCATCCAAGTACACATTTTACTGTTGCGTTAAACAGAGGCTACAGTTAAGGAATTGCGCCCAGTAAATCCTCCCCGGCCAGGATACGAACCCATGACATAGCGCTCGCGGAACGCCAGGCGAGTGTCTTACCACTACACCACGGAGACTGCAACAATTGTTATTATGTTTAGTATGTCACCTATGCACGCAACTAATAAGTCAATATTGACTTATTAAATTTGCGAGAACGGGTTGGATCTGGAGAGGAATATCGTAGCATTCTCACTTGTTTTGTTCTCTCAGTTTGCCACTGTAAAAAGTGACAAGGTTTTGCCTACCAGGAATGTACGCACTCAAGCAAGCCCCCTAGCCAAGGCCAATGCATAGAAAACATCAATATTGCAGTGTTTTAATATTTACTACTATGTTGCATTTTTAACAGATTCGTTATTTTAGTAAAAATGTGCCGTATTAAGCGAAAGGACAAGTTCTAGACTAGTTTCTTAGTAGTGCACGTGTGTGTATCATTACTGGTGAGGTTTTTATCTTGCAAGTTGTAGAGATTTTATACAGAGAACTATTTTATAATTTTATATGCGACAGAATACTGTAGTCTATATTGTAATGACGAGGAAATCAAGTCTCATACCTAAATTCAGCCTGAGAATATATTTTGTTACCTGAAAGTCCTAATTATAGTTAACCTCTTCATTGTGTAAAGAAAAAGCAGCCTTATAGGATTAAACTAATTTTGTTTAGTTTTTCATTATGAATATATGTGTATACTGTATATAAATTATCCTAGATTTATTTTGTTTAAATTTGTTTCCCACTGTTCCTTGCAGTCAGTTGTCTCACAATGAAGTCAGTGACTGCCTCCATTAACAGTGCTCATCTATCCTCTTTCTGCTTTTGTATTGGCAATCTGAATATCCTGGAACTTTTGAATATTCTGCAACATGCAGATTATAACTATACACTAACGTTTTCTCTCTTGATAATTACCTAATAACGAATATGCTGAAGATGTTGATCCAGTGTTATTAAACGTTACTCAAGCATGTTTTGCCCGCAGAATTACTTACTTTTGATGATGAGATGCATGGAGCAGAAGCCTTTGCCACCAGCATGTACAGAAAAATATACAAATGCCTCAGAAACAATGTTCCAAGCCAAGAAGTACTGGTAAATGTTCAGGTTGAAAATACGGTACTGTATAAGATTTCATATTACCGGGTGTAGTTTGTACTTCTTTTCTTTATCATTAACCAAAGAGGTTAATGGCTAACTTGTCCTTGGTTAATCACAGTAAACTAGTCTAATTTAATATAGTCATATAGTTTGATAACAGTGTCTCTTGCAAAAAAATAATAATTCATTAAGTAATTAATTAATTATTAAAAGAAGGCACCAAGCCAGGAAGCTATGTAGCTCTTTGACATTATATCATTTAATATTCCTATGCACATACATCCTCATTACTGTATATTGTAAATTCTTAGCAGCAAATATAATGTATCTGGCAATGACAACAAGAGTGTTTAACTTATTATCCAAGTGTTTTCTCAAGTTGTAAATTTTATCACTTTGTATTTCTTAAATATAAGGGGATATGAAGTAAGTAATTATCAAAAGAAGGCACCAAACCGGGAAGGCTGTGTAGCACTGTCAAATGTGCGGAATAATCAGATTCCGCTAAATATCACGAAGGATGCCAATAAGAGAACAGAAACGCGTAAGGCGAACGATATAAAAAATATTCGATTCACCAAGAATTCTATCGAGGGACAAGTGACCGCGAGGGACGGTCGGAAAGCAAGACACACGCTCGTCCTGGAAGTCAGGACATTCAACAAGGATATGCACGTCTGTAAGAGAGAGAATGCAATTTGAACAATAAGGAGCAGGGCGGCGCTCCATTAAGTGACTGGGAGTTAAGCGTGTACGGCCAATACGCAACCTTGCCAGAGCCGTTTCTCATCACCAGATACGGTGGTAGGAGGAAGGCCATGGGAACACACTACGCTTAAGAGTACGCAGTTTGTTACCAACAACCTTGCCAACGGGGAAGGATGGAGGGATGAATAACTTGGTAAAAGTTGGAATAAGGTATACCTTTACGGGAGATGGGACAAGAGTGGATAGCTTCCCTAGTAGCAGCACTTCCGACACGCTCATTTAAAGAAACGCCAATATGGCTGGGAACCCAGCAAAACTACTGATTTAAATTTACTGGAGATAAGAAACAGCCAATATTGAATCTTGGCAACCACCGGATGGACTGGATTGAAATAAGAATTAAATATACTGAAAATAAAATTTCACCAGTATGCAGACGTTGAGTCACAATAACGTTGCTGAAGATATGACGACTAAACCACACACCAGAAGACGAGACGACAACGTTTCTTTCCATCCTGGACTATTTATGAAGTCAATTGGTACAAAAATGTGAACTTTGGGTACAACAGTCAATTTTTATAAGAATGGGTTGCATTGTCTGATAATGACAGGGAAGACATTAAGGCGAGCTAGAGATATGACCTATGATCACCCTTGGCAACACTAGGAAAAGTTAGTGTGAGTAAGGGGAATACCATCTACGATCACCCTCAGGAAGACGTTAGGGTAAGTCGAGGATACCACCCAAGATCAACCTCTTAAAAAAAATATCCCAGAAGTATATCAATTTTTTTTCTCAACAGACTTTTGATCAGATATTGTGAAAAATTGTATCCAAACCTTACACTTTTGTTATATAGTAGAATCAATAAATATTTAACCATGAAATTCATGCTTAATATAGTACACAAAGTAATAACTAAGTACTGTAATTATCAATAGAAGACACCAAGTTAGGAAGACTGCATGATATAACTATCAAAACACACTTGGCCCCTACCTTCCTGAAGCAATTCATTACTCAATCTTACATTCCATACACATTTTGTCTATCAACCTCTTCATGGGTCTAAAACTCTTCCCTCTAAATTCATTTAGTGGCCATTGTCACTAAATTACAATTATTTTTTTTTATGTACTGCCACACTTTATTCCTTATCATTAACCAAATGCACCTGCATGGTCACCTTATTTTCTTCCACATCTGCTCACTCGGTGCTGAAATCTCAACTTTGTTATTGGCTTCCTTCCAAGAACAGAAGCCATTATATAGTGAACAGTATTAATAAGCTTTGAAGCTATTGTCTGGTGAACATCATCATATAACCTCTTAAGCCACGTAAGTATAAAAGGATCATAAACATATGTTGCTTCAAACTAAATTGTGTCAATTGCATCTTGACAAAGGTTGATCCTAATTTAGCTATACAGTAGTGCAGTCCACAAGTTAGTGACGTGTCAAGAGAATATATACAATTATCCCAACTGAACCCACATGTTAAAAAATAATAAAATGAAAGTGATGATTGTGTTTGCCGTGGACCCTTATCAAGTCAAGACACAATAAGGATCCAGAATGGGCCAAAAAGTCATCACTTTAATTTTTATGTGCGGGTTGGGTTGTTTCAGCCATGTTACAGTAGCTTACTCTGTGGAACATATACCATAACACAGGCTACATTATTGACAGGTTTCAAAGAAAAGTAGTGTGCCTTATACGCCTTCATTCTCAAATTATTAAAGGTACAATGTTAAGAATTATCTAATATAGGAAAGAATTAAGAAATTATATTTGTGACAATATTTTGTATAATTATGAGTAATAAAATTTTCACACTGCTTTCCATGCAAATTGGATAAAAAATATTTATAAAAAAATACTACTCTTAAAATTATGGGCCACACGAGTGCCATAGAAATAAATTCTTTGAACCTAATATTTCCTATGGAAATTTGCACTTTTTAGATAGTGGTGAAGTAAAAATTTAAATTAGAGTACCTCTTTTTCTGGAATATAAATTAAAGAAAGTAACTAAATAATACATTCTCATTTAAACCATAAGAAACTATAAATAAATCAGTGCTAATGAAGATACATATTACACAAAGTATGTAAGAATCATTTATTATAAATAATTATAGTTTAGTCATACCAGACTCAAGTTACAAGACACAAAATTTAATACAGTTTTGACCCTTGTTTTACTAGACAGATCAAAGTTAATAAACAGGTACTGGTTAACTGTATATATATATATATATATATATATATATATATATATATATATATATATATATATATATATATATATATATATATATATATATATATATATATATATATATATATATATATATATATATATATTATATATATATATATATATATATATATATATATATATATATATATATATATATATATATATATATATATATTTATATTTGAATTAAAAACTCTCATCACATGAAAGTGGAATAATTTCTTTTCATTTCTTAATGCCACCAATCTGCACTCATGAGTTAGCTGTGTTATCAATGTGGACAGCTTAGTTTTATTTGACATTCTTGGAAACAAAGTGTACATATGGTTTACATGGAAAACTTGCCAGCACAAGTTACACCCCCCTGCACCCACAGCTCATCAGCCAACCCGTCCTCTTACAAATAACGTCGCCTTTCGCTCGTATGCGCACTAAGGCTAAAAATTGGCATAATAGGAAATGGAATCGGCTCGTGAAAGTGACGTACTGTCCCGTTTTCTGTTTTGGGTCCACTGGCTTAGTCTGTTAGGTTAGGAAAGGACAGTTTAAATTAATAGTTTTCATAATGTTGTGAAACCTTGTGGAAGTAAGTAAGTAATTATCAGAAGAAGGCACCAAACCGGGAAGGCTATGTAGCACCATCAAATACGCAAAATAATCAGAGGGCGCTAAATATCACCAAGGATGCCAAGACGAGAACAAAAACGCATAAGGCGAACGATATCAAAAGTATCCGAGAAACCTTGTGGAAAATAAATTTCCATTTTGGATTACGGCTATTTTTGGCCTTATAGCAAACGCGTGAAAAGCGACAGTATTTGTAAGAGGACAGGTTGCATCAGCACTTGGCAAATAATTACCGATAGTTTAGGAATATATACTCAAACTGAAATGTATAACAGCATGTCAGTGCAGTAAACAATCACCATCATTAAAATTCACTGAGAATCATCTTCAAACAAACTAAAATATTTAATTCAAATTTAATAGTACCGTTGATCCCTGATTTGCAAGAGTTCAGAGTACTGTACACACGCATTCAATCACACACGGATTTGTTTTTTAAGATTAAGTTCAGAGTGCACGCTGCCAAAAACGTCTGTACACAAACTGTCTGGGCATGCACAAGAGCTGGTCCAGGGGTATGCATGTTGTCGTGGACGCCCAAGTTGTTTCATAGTGCACGATAGGTCAAACAGCTCTGTTTTTCCACCAAGTCCTCCTGCTTTGCCTTCAAGTTATCCTTCGTACTAAAAAACCAAGTTTTTCTACCTCATGACTCCTTACAAAAAATGTTGTGTTTAATGCACTTCTAGATCACATTAATTCAAAACATCCAGCAGCTTCTTGAAGCAAACAAATATATTAATTATACACAAGAACAGGTGTTGCTGAAAACAGAAAAAATAAAGAAACTCTTGAGGTTTCAGGAGCCTAATGATGTTTTGTTCAATGTGCATGACCTCACTCTAGGCAGTAGATTCCAGACATGTAACACTCAAAACAGACCGAGGATCGACAGTACACAGAGGGATAAAATAAAATTGCTTTTTACAGTCACGATACAAAATATAGATGCAGCCATCCCAACCATAACTGTAGTAAACCATTAAAACCTAATAAATGACAATACTGTTCTGTACTCATTCATTATCAAAACCATTTAATTTGTCTTCTATGATATTAATCAATTGCTCTTTGCAATTCTGTTTATTACAAAAGCAAATTTTTCTTACATATATTCAGTTATTTGTTCTTAAGAACCGATAAAAAAACGAATTTCAAGCTTATGCACATTAATTGCAGCTACTTGCGTAGGTCCAAAACAAAAACACTTCCGTCTGATGCTGAAGCTCCCACTTTGTCTCCTCGAGAATTCCAGCACACCTCAAATATACCTCCCGTTCCTTTGTAGCTGTGGACCAGCTGCCCTGACTGAAAATAAAAAAAAAAAAAATATTAATTAACAAAAAGAAAAAAGCACATACAATACAGTATATGCATGTCTGTACAGGGTGTCCTTACAACTTTTTCATATTTGCTGACTGGAATCATCAGGGCATATCTGTATGCCCTGATGATTCCAGTACCTGACCAAAAGGCTAAATTATCACAATAATAATCAAATATTACCACCCAGAAGAAATTAACTTTTTATATCAACCATTAAACAGCTGTGATCACTATCTGCGATTACCTTCTGTGCTCGAATTGCCAAATGTGATTTTTTTTTTTACATTAGTTTTGTGAATGTTATAATGGGTTAATTACTGGTCATTTACTTTACCTGAGTGGACCATATATGGACACACTTATCAAAGCTCCCAGATGCTAGGAACTTGCCATCAGGAGAAAAGGCCACAGAATATACTGGTTCAGAGTGTCTGGTAAGTGTATGTATGCAGGCACCACGCTCTACGTCCCAGAGTCGTACAGTAGAGTCAAACGAAGCACTGTTGATAAAAAATAATTATTGAAATTTTCAGTAACAACAAACTACTTGATACTTAAAACATTATACTTGCAATAAACAAAGACATCACAAAAACAAGACATATCTATGAGGAAATATTAAAGCCTTATCATGGTATCAAGCCTTCATCTCTTGACTCCTCAGGCACACACACTACTGTACTCACATAGTCCAATCGCCAGTGCCTGAAGAGTTCAGGCAGCTGTTCTGCCTGAACAGGCAGAACAGCTGCCTGTTCTATTATGACACCCAACTTTTATAACGAAGTGAAATATTATGACACCCAACTTTTATAACAACATCCACACTTGGCAGTATCACAAGGAACAAATATCACCATACATTAGCAAAATATTTACAGCTATATTTCAACCATTTCACAGATATACAGAACACCATGTGACTTGTTACGAGATGTTGATCATGCAATATCTTGCCTGATATTCACACACATTTTCACACGTATTCATCATACCAACTGCTCTCAGTGTTTCTCCTATTCTCCAGTTCACATCAATTAACGTTTTACATTATCTATTTATTCAACCTTACTTTACCATTGCTCCTAAATCATTACGACAATTTTTCTTCTTATTCCCCTTTCCGTATGATTTTTTATCTGACACTTTTCTAATTAAACAAATATTTTCTACAATCCCATTAGACTACGTATTACATAATTACAAAATATTCATATTTACATCACTCAATGAGTTCCATTTCACAAATACACAAGACTGCTCTACCAGAACTTTCAACAAAATAATTCCCAGTTCATCGAACTTTAATATCTGTATTTCTATCATTTTTACCAACACTTTATAATATCTTAATAATTTAGTAGTCCTTTGGCAAAAATATTACCACATTTGCATTGTCATGACTCACTGTGCATCAGACAGTGCATGAATGTCAGAGTTGGGGGCGTATGTTCCGTGGTCTGAGTGATTGTAGTCATCACAAGCTGTAGTGTTCCCATATTGAAATCAAGCCTCTATCCTACCCATAAAGAGAGAGGTGATAAAAATATAAAATAAACTCTAAGGGTCAACAACAATTCCAGGTTTAGGATTTCTATTTTGTTAATAAACCCAGTGTTGAATGTAATGAAGCACCCCTGTCTGGAGGGCCCACTTGGGAGCTCCTTGAGTCAACAGGGAGCCACTGAGGGATGCTCTCCCAAGAAATTCAATTAATTCTGGAACAAAAACCGAAATAAGGCAAATGCCTTGCTGCAGCAGAAATACTTCTATAACATGGAAGCCTCCATAACTAACCAATACAGTTGCGTGTGACAACACTATGTATAAGGCTCTTGTGGAAATCAAACCAATTTAAATAATGCTCCCAATCTTTAAATACATTTTGTAATTTAGGGACAAAGTCCAGAAAAATACTTAATGAATAATTATAACAACAGGCAAATGCCAAATAAATACAGAATATATTTACCTAGCAAGGATGAGGTTCATATTTGGATTATTTGTACCAGGCCCCGTTGGTGACCATTTAATTGTGTATATCTCTTTACTGTGTGCCTGTAGGTCATGTACACAAGCATCCTGCCGCATCGACCAAATCTGAAATACAAGTCATAATATAATACATGTGGAATCATTGGATTGTTTGAAGTGTATGTTAGACATGTATATATATATATGAATGACTTTGGGTAGATATAAATAGGAGCCGCCTCATATTATTAGGAACCTAATTTTTCAGTCACATTATTGTGATTTAGTCTGCTCATGTTCTTAAGTTAAATTTATATTTTATATATTATACTCTCTGTCCTCGAAAAGATAGATATTTCCATTTATATATACACTAAATGATGTAAATGTGCTGATAAACCATACGAGTAACTTCAATACTTTACGGATAACACATTCCCAATTATAATTCCATTTCAGACTATCAAAATTCCAGCCCCCTAATATTTCTTTAAGCTCTTAACTTAGGCCTACCCCAACCAGCCTTTGTCCGTCATAAACCCCAATTCCCTGCAAATTTAACTAAGGCTATCGCCAAACATTTAGTCTCCAGCTTTAGACAAACATACACTCTTTCTTATAGTATAGATATGCTGTATATTCATTCACATTCATGGAGAATAACTGGACAAGAGAAAATTCCAAGATTTTTTCCGAGACAAAGTTCCATTGTGACTTTTTTTTTAACAGTATACGTGATAACATGACCAGTTCCATCCTTCAGTAGTCATATATTTAATATTATTCATTAAATAAGGATATTCCTAAGGTCACATCTTTCAAGCTGCCATTTTTAACTTATCTTATATGTCATTTTTTGGTGCTAACATACAGGGGTGATTGGTTTGCAGCTCTAATGTTAGCAAAGAGGCAGAATGCTTGAAACATTACAAAACAGGATTCAAGTCATCTACTCCTATAACCACCTGTGGGAAAAATAAAGCAAGCTAACATACATCCCTCACACTCAACCCATCTATATACAGTATAGCCACGACCCATTGCTCCCTTTGCAGTACATCCATCCTCGATATCTGGCCTCAGAGATTGTAAAGAACCAAGTGTTATCGAAAACCTTGAACCATTCACATTTATTTTGTGCACAGATTTTCAGTGCTGACAGTATCTAGTGTGCATCACTGTTGTGGGTGTCTCCACTTATATATTTCATATTAAAAAGATTAAAAAATAAATAAGCAAACCCACGTGCATCAAAAGCAAGAAAAGTGATATTGTTGTGGCCCATTCTGGACCCTTACCTGGTCACAACGTAACATGTCACTTTCCTTTATTTTCTTATGTATGGGTCGGATTATTTATTACCAGCCACATCATTGTGACTCACTCTCTGCTTAATAAGTAAATAATAGACATTTTTGGAAACTCTTAAGCTCCAGTGACGGCATCGTTTTGTAATGCAGAGCCTGAAAGAATTCTCCAACTTTGTAAACCAACACTGATTAAAACAAATACCTTCCACATCTCACCTTAAGAGTCATATCATCAGAACATGATGCAAGAAGATTACCCTGTGGGTCCCACTTGATAGCATTGACTTCATTGGTGTGTCCCTGGAATGACTTGATTGGTTTATCTTGACCAAGCTGGCACACGTGTATACACTGATCAGTTGAACAACTAGCAAATGATGTATTTGTCTGCCAATCTACATCCAAGGCTGGAGCTGAATGGAAGGCAAACTGTTGAGTGCAGTGTCCAGACGACGCATCCCATATGATTGTAGTCTGAAAAAATTTAATAGCATCTTCATCTGCACAAAACACAAATCTTCACTGTAAATATTACACAAAAAATGTTTGGAGCAACGTATGTAATCAAACTCGTCTCCTGGGATCAACCCAAGACACAATTTTGATTCCACTCACTGTTCCAAAGAATTTCTCATAATATACCAAGCTTTCAAAATTCTTAACAACACTCGTTAGCATCAAGGGGCAAATAGTATTGTCAATTGTTTCAATTGTATCGTCAATATGTCATTTGTTTCAAAGATAAATAATACTAGAGGGAACATCAAACATAATGACATTTATTCCTTCACAATGAGCTACATTCACTCATTCCTTTTCACTGTCACTTTCACATATTGCTCAAATGCACATCTTTTTCATATATTCAACACACATAACCACCTTATAAGCATTCCTCTCCTACACACATATTAATTAAAACATATCACTAACATCATCTATTCATGCAACCATAATTGCCAATAATTTTGTCCAGGAACTGAATACCAATTTGTGAATTTCTTAACTTTCCTTCCAATTACAATCACATGTCTACAAGAGTTTAGAAACCATATGATGGGATCGAACATGCATCACTGGATTCCACAGGCACATGCACAACTGACTAGACCATGATGAGTTTGACGAGTGTCAGGGGAATTCAGGGATGCGGGATACAATCCCATCATATGGCTTAAATATTTTCTCACCAGTTGGCAAATTTAATGGAGGAAATGATCCATGCAACCTGTGACTGGTTTTGCATTTTCTGTTATTGTGGCCCAAACTGCTTGAAATTTTCTCATATTATGCACAAACATTGAATCTTTATTTTTCATACGTGTCAGCTAGAAAGAAGCTCATTTGCCTCAAATTAATATATTTTCTCTTATATGAAAACTAATAAAACTACCTATAGCATTTTAAAATAATACAGAGAATTCAACCATGAATTAGATGGAGGACAAAACATACAGTAGCTCCATATCACTGACACACTAAATCCAAAATAAACTTACTTTGTCTACTCCTGCACTCAGAATGTAGTTTCCCTTTTTATTCCACTTCAATGCAAAAATTGGGCCCTTGTGTTGTCCAAGAGTAGATGCCAGCCGCCCGTCTGTCATCCAAATTCTTGCATAACCATCATAGGACCCAGTTGCCAGAAGTGTTCCATCACACTAGAGCAAAAGCTTATTAGTATAATGAGCATTATTATTATTATTATTTTTATTATTACATATTTTTATTATTATTATTATTCTCAGTAATATATACAGTACCATATTTTCCAGTGGATAGGATGCATCTTTGTGCCCAACCATCAAATATATAAAAATGAAATCAATCACATGCACAAAATTATGTCCCCCCCCCCCCCACTTTCAAAAACATTGGAACATCACTTTCAATAAAAGTATGATGAAACATACTAAACAAATATTTCCACAAAATATTTTTTGTATACTGTATAAGGTGTTATATACTATACTCAGGAAAATACGGGACCTTTATTAGCATCGTAATTCACCCATTCACTGTATCCTTCATGCTCAGTATAACGCCTTATTAGCCCCCACCCCATATACACTGCCCCCCCTCTTTCCCCATACACACACACACTGCTCCACTCCCCATGTACGCTACCTCCCCCCCCCCACACACATATACACATTTTAACCCTTCTGCTGCTTATTTTGATTTCAGCCCCTGTAAATCATTTTGTGATATGTCCTATGAATTTTGGAAATAAAGGAAGCTCTTAAAAAAAATGATCAGCTGCAAATCATGTGTAAAAGTACACTTTATACCAAAACATTGCCACTTCCAATTAGGTGTGTGTGTTTGGTTACTTGTTTTTCAGTGGCATTATTATGATATACTCTGAGAATTTACAAAAGCTGATTCACAACCTAGTTTCTTACATTCCAGTCAAGAGATGTGACGTCTTTGTTGCTAGGAACCTCTGTGCCGCCCTTCTGGATACAATGCCTGAGAACTAATTGGTTTGGAGACGTAGTGTTGTCGTTCATGTTCCATATACGTGCAGTGCTATCACCCGATCTGGAGTAAAAATACAAATCAAATCCGAAAATTAAAATACTGTACAATAAAAACGTTTCCTTTCAACATAAATGCCATTTCTCAAAAACTTTATAGTATACCCCCAGTAAGGGAAGCTGCACATCATGATCAGAATACACCAGTTAATTAAGAGTTGAGAAGCTGGACCAAAGAGCCGAAGTTCAACACCCGCAAACGACATTAGGCAAGTACAATTAGGTGAATACAGACCTGCTTATCAGATGCATGCAGTACTATATCTCACACATATAGTCCATAACACACTTCACTCATCTTATACAATACAAAATCCTTACTGCTCTATGAACGAAATTAATAAATCCAAAAATGGCAAGGACCCCATGATGCTCTCTATCAATAGAGCACTATAAATTATTATTCAAATATCTATCATAAACAAGTATCAATATAAACAATCATGTATCCATGCTAATATAAATCAGTCTCAAAAAATTAGTAATAAAATTGCTAAAACTAGCAAAAAATAATTTTCCATTTTCACTTCAAATGTTTAAATCAAAGAAATTCCATTCAAAAAAGGTGGTGGTTTCTTATAACAACAAGGATATAGTGACCGAGAGGTAAACCCTGCTTCTCTGTGTACGTAACAACAGTTTACTTAAGAGCTGAACTATGTTCAGTATAAAGTATACTTACTGGTTGGTGAATAAGCTATTATGGCCTTAATAACCCTCCAGAGATTGATATGCCTTACGTCAACACCAAACCAACATTCACAGATTAATCAATTCAACAAAGGCAATTGCAAGAAAAATGAAGTTCTTTAGGCAATTTCTTTTAGGTCAATCTATTAAGACATCAACTTGAATTATAGTGAACAAGGAAGTTACATCAAACTCATAAGCTTGAAGTTTTGTTTCAAATTCGTATTGCACTTACAGCCGGATAAAGAGTTACCGAGACCATATTTTCTATTAAAAAACTAATATTTATAAAAAAATTATTAAAAAAAAATCAGAATTTTCTGATAAGAGGTCTATTTCTTACTACAAACTTAATACAATTTTGAAAACTGACGGTGACCGGGCCGAAGGTAAGTAGCTGCAGCAAATGGATTAAACATCTTTACACCAGTGCTTAAATAAGTGGGTAGAATTATGACCTAAAGAATACGTAAATAATTACCCTGATGCCAGAAGATCTGTTGTAGGGTTCCAAGCGCAGATAAATACTTCAGATTCATGTCCTCGTAAGATTGTTGCCTTATTTAGTGGAATTTCCACACTAATATCAACGTCCATAGTTTCACCAGTAGTCCCTGAAAAATAAATAAATAAATTAAAAATATAAACCATGTGGACATTGCAACATTTATAAAGTATTGTTCAATTCTACACAATGAGAAAAGGGCTAAGAAGTTTATTACTAAGATACTATTAAAAGGAACCAGTACAAGTCTTGAAAGTATACATGAAAATATTATAATCAGAAATGCGAGTGTAAAAGTTATAAAAGGTTAGAAGATAGTGAATTGGTTGACCTTGGTCATCCTTAAAGTACCAGTGTTTGGATACTCACCTTATCATATTTGTTTCCTAAACAAGCATTCATTATAAAGTTTGGGATAAAATAAATAGTGGAGTATCTGTAGTTGTAAAAAGACAGTGTGAAAGGCTGGGTGTACCTCCCCATATCTATAACCTCTTCCTCCTAAAAGGTCCCCTTTCTTGAGAGTATATCCCTAGCACAATTCAAGTGGGATACTTTGAATTTTATATATTTTCATTGTATTATGTTACCGATACAGTACTTTATTTATTAAACACTGATAGTTACAGTGACGGTGGTGGTGATGCTAATGATGAATATTTGTATAATAACCCAATTCACACAAATGAAATGAAATGAAAGTAATGATATTTCAGTCTATCCTGGATCTTGATCAAGACATGACAAAGAAGACTGGGAGAGTCGATATAAAGCAAGAGTGTCTCCCACTCTTGTTTGTCATACCTTGATAAGGGTTCAACATGGACCAAAACATTATTACGTACTGTCATTTCACGTGTGGGTTGGGTTATTTATTACAGCCATGTTATTGCGACTCATTCTCTGCATATTATTATTTAAACTTCGTGCTTCACAATACTGATTAAATTTCAAGAGTCCAAGTTGGCAGCCCTGTAAATAATGTCTAAAAATGGATTTCAATCACTTAGTGACTAAAAATAATCAAAAGCAGGGTAATATTTTCACCTGTCAACCCACCTTCATCACCATTTGTGCTGGGGATTTCTGTTTTCACTACTGGTTTTGTTGTGGTGTTCTGCCTGGAAGCCACAACATCTGGCATCACGGCATCAATTAGCGACAGACTGTCTATTAATCTCTCCGACCCATCCTGCAATATTATGGAGTTATTATATAACATTATATTACTATTATATTACAAATGGAATTTTTCCCAACACAAGTGTAATATAAAATACTGCAAAATGTGGTAATGGCTGTCATAAAGGTGATGTTAGAAATGATGGTGGCAGTAGAAATGGTGGTGGTGGTGGTGATAGCCCTATAGGCTGCACAGACTTAAGCCTAAGGCTTGGGGTTCTTGGTAGGGGGGGCTGCCAAAATTAGATGTAAAAATAATTTCCTGACAAGTTTGCACAAATGCCCTGACCATGTATTTTAAAGAAAAGTAGTGCAACTTGTCATCCTTCATTCTTGACCTCGGGAAGTTTTTTTTATTAATTTCAGAGCAGCATATTCTTTACCCACTGCAGTTGGATACCACTGGGATATAAGTACATTTACAAAGAAATGTATACATTTAGAGACAGAAGAGAGGTTGTCCAATACAATTTGCTTCAGCATATGCAATTCAAAACTACAGTACGTTCAATTTCACTATCAGCTGCAGTTATATTCAGTTTCATATTCTCTTTGAATTGAATCAATTCATCTCCAAGACTGGGTTGTAGATCCTTAGGATAACAAGAAATACGGTAATGTGCAGAGTACTGCAACTGATCATTCTTAAATTGCAAAAACTTTAACAATAATCCATACTTCATACTCATTTCTGAGTAAGCATCTATCTGTTTTTTTCAAGATGCTTACCGAGGTTTACCTGGAGAGGGTTCTGGAAGTTCTACTCCCCGAGCCTGACTTGAGGGCCAGGCTCAACTTGTTATAATTTGGTCCAATAGGCTGTTACTTGGAGTGGCCCACATTTTCACTATAACCCAGTTTGTCTGACACTTCTTGCAGGAACCTATCTAACTGCTTTTTGATCAATGACAGGTAGAAAAACAATGATATTAAATTGTTCATGTGCCGAGTCTCATAGCTCAGTTTCATATGTAGGCCCACCGTTAAACTTCATTTTCATACTCCACTTACGTTTTCTGGTTCTCTTTTTCCTTATGGGTTGATGTACCAGCATTGACAGTGCCATTCTTTTCAAATTTGTCAAACATCCATATATCTATATCTATATATCTATCTATCTCTATCTGTCTATATCTCTTATCTATATCTATCTATAGCTATCTATCTATATCTCTCTCTCTCTTTCTCTCTCTAAGATGCAACAAATTCTTTCAGCAAATGAAAATTTACTGCTGCATTCAGTTCTAGTGCTGAACTCTGCAAACTCATGCTTGTTTGGTGGAAGCATTTCAATAACAATGACCAGACACTTAACACAATACCTGACCCCACCCAGAACCCGGGTTCAAGACCCGTGATTAACTAAATCCATCTCTGGGTGGGTGTTAGCAGTAATGGTGGTGATAGCTTTAAATAATATTGAGAAACTAAAGAACACATAATGCAGTGACCTCAAAGAAAATGTTTAAGATAAATAAGATAAATAAATTTTAAACTCCAATTCTATTCACACATTTTACAGAACAGCGTAAATGATGTACATGGGTGAACTAATTGCATCATATGACAGGAGTAGATGACTAGTATTATGGAAGGGAAGGGAAGAGTTGAACAATATATGAAAGAAAGAAAGGATAGGAAGGAGATGGGGGCTAGAGAGCTCGAGTGAAAGGTTTGTGGTGTGACGGAGCCTCCTGAAGAAACTTTAGTTGTCACTCCCCCTCCCCCCGGCTATAGGTACGTAAACAGCCCAGTATCCTGTTCTTCTGGTAAAGCTTCTAATGTTGACAAGATGCCAACCAATTCTACCTATTTAATATTACAAAACTGTAAATTATAGTGACATTTACCTCTCCTATACTTATCTCTGCCTCAGTATATTGAAGACCTTTCTGAATGATGCTAAGTAGGGCTGCAGGTGGGACCAATGCTCCATTGATGTTTGACTGTGATATGTGGGACTCAATCCCAAATACATAAGCTGCATGGTAAAAACCTGCAAAATCAAAAGTAAAATTAAAAGAAAATTAACACCACAAACTCCCAAACTGTGCAGCTATTTAAAAGTACATTACTACATTGAGGTGTACATATTTAAATAATTTTGTCAGGGACAGGACTGTGTGTATATATACTTCAGGCGTGTATCTGGGTTACCCTCCCCATCCCCAGGGTTTAACTACTGACCTTCCCGAGGATGCAGCCCCACAACAGTTGCCTAGCTCCTGAACCTATTTATTGGAAGGTGAATAGAATCATTAGGTGAAAGGCAACATTCCCAACCATTTCTGTACTATCCCACAAATCAAATCTGGGATCCCCCAATTCAGCTGTAAACAAACTGCAATACATAAAAATTACAAATAATGATTGGAACCGTGTAAGGGTTAACACTAATCATGTTCCAATCATCTCATGTTTTTGGGCAACCACTAACCAAATATATATATTGCATTTACATGCACAAAATCATATTTATACCTCTACAAAACCCCTCAAAAATCACTTTTAATAAAGATATGATTAACAGGCAGTAAGTACTTAAAAGCTACTTGTAGATTAAGTGCCTTGTATGTGCCCAAAAATATGGTACCATAATACAGTGGTACTGTTGTATACAACAATTCCCTCAAATCAAAAATGATATATTTGTCGAGTACTTTTATGGGTTAAATTATTATGCAGTTTTCTTCATTCTTATATTAATATAATACAGTTGAAAATATTGATGATGACAATTAAACAAACATGTTTCTCTTCAGACATGAAGAGCATTTCACTTTTGGACATAAAGTGTAATGCCATCATCTCTTTCCCTCAACACCTTCACCTTACAACACAAGTTTCAGCCAAATAATAAACTAGGAAGAACTAAAAAGTTATCGCCTTTTTAATCTATTGTGTGGAATTTTTTGGCGGTTTTTATATTAGAATAACTAAGTTTATTTTCTCTATTTCCTGACTTCCTTTTCTAATGTTGATATAGTTATATACATAGAGGTACGAGCTCTTTGGAAGCACAGATATACATTCCCGAGTGCTAAACCACCCTTTTCCACTTACGACGAGAGGCTATACATATGCATTGACTAGACATACAGTACATGAATAAGTAATTATCAAAAGAAGGCACCAAACCAGGAAGGCTATGTAGCACCATCAAATGTGCGGAATAATCAGAGGGTGCTAAATATCACCAAGGATGCCAATACGAGAACAGAAACGCATAAGGCAAATGATATCAAAAGTATCCGATTCACCAAGAATTCTATCGAGGGACAAGCAACCACGTGGGACGGTTGGAAAACAAGACACATGCTCGTCCTGGAAGTCAAGACATTCAACAAGGATATGCATGACCATAAGAGGGACAATGCAATTTGGACAATAAGGAGCAGAGCGGAGTATATGAATGAGTATATGGATATAAACAGAAGCTGCCTCATTAGGGCCAATAGGTCACCTTCTATTTCCTTTATTATTTTATTCTTAAAAGAATAATTTATTGTTTAACCTACCTGATTCCTGAAGATACCTGTATACCAGGAAATTAACCTCATCACTTGTAATGCTCATGATGAATCTGAAAAAAAAATGATCTAATTAAAGTTTATCTTAGGAAATAAAGGAGTTGGTGGTGGTAGTACAGCCCGTTCTCTCGAGCTGTCACAATGGACAAAATATGGGGTACTAAAGTGCATAAACCCAAGACACCTGCCTAATCAGTTCACAATCTAAATACCACAATATGACATTTCCCACTTGTGTTTGAATCTTTGTCTAGACATTAAAGACAGAACAGCAGCATAGGAGTCAGTTTCAAGACACTTCCTTTAAGCTATGCCAGGAAAAGATTTGCATGCAATATAGGTGTAAATACTGTATTGTCATACAGGTCTATAAACAGTACTTACAGTTTTTGTCAATTAAGTGTAAATTCTGCATATGGAATTATTCCACACATTGTGTAAACTAAAGTGAAGTTATGATAATTATCAGGAGAAAGCACCAAATCATATCGACCATATAGCACTTAATAGGAATATGAAGATAAGCATTTTGGTTAGAATGAAGGAAAGAAATGGTGCACAACCACTTGGATGGTTGGAAATAGAATGGTAACCTGCCAGAAGCGAGCTCATTGTTCTACCATCCAGTCCATGGAGAAGGGGGGGTTGGACTAAAGTGAAAAAGGTTACATATAATTCCCATATACAGCTAATCAGCAATATTGCATCATCACAGACCAAATTACCTCCTCACAATGTTCACAAAACACAAAAAGACGTTGATATTTGTTTACATCATATTTTTCTTAATTTTTACATGAAAAAGTATAATTTTAAGACATTTTTCTAACTCTCAGGTGCATATTTACTGCTAAGTGAACAAAAGCATTAGGTGAAACGAAATGTACCAACCTCTTTTGACCTGCCAGGGACTGAACCGGGGTCCCTCAGTTGTGAGTGGAAGAGGTAGGCCCTAAAATTTTGCCTCATTCTAAGTATGCAAACACATGTAAGAACCACACTACTCCACCACAGCCTTTCACCGTCATATATTTGTCTTGAGATCACGCAGCAGAGCACACACAAGTATGGTCAGTGTCAAACTGTACACAGGCATTTTAACAAAGCTCATATCTTTAACTGCCAAAGCAGTATACAGTGTGTATCATTTGGTTAGGCTGTGTTAGGCTCAAATAGGGAAAGTTAGTTTGTTAAGTTAGGTCAGGGTAAGGTTAGGTAGCTTTAAAATCCATTTGATAGTGTCTTGTGTACAATGTGACTTGTAGCAGACATTGTAACTTAAGAGTTACAAGCTACGCTGATGGTTTGTGGCAGTGTTGGCTCCACCACTCACAGTGTCTCGTGCTGCTGATACTGCACAAGTAAACCAATCACGGGGAACACTTTACTGAGCCACCAGTTACCTGTCTACACTCAGGAAAACAATATAAACTGGTATCAAAATGTCAAATAATTCAAGATAGGAATTCCTCCAGATTCCTTACAATACACACGATGGTTAGACATGTTCTATATTATAATTATGAACACGAACACTGCACAACTGAACAAACCACAATGCGTGTACTGCACAACTGGCTTCTCCCTGGCATGTTTTCCCTCAAAACCACATCACTGAAAAACATTATCACATAATCAACTTTGAAACCTCCCGTGTTTATTTTTTTGTAATGCTACTATTTATTGACTAACCACTCCCCCAGGCGGCCAGCAGTGAGCCAGCGGTGCCCACAGTGTCTGGTGTACACTTACGGCTACAACACTCAGCGATACTTCAAATAAGCAACATTTTATGAGGTGTAGAAGAGAGTTTGTGAGGAGGAGGCGCCGAGCGACCCGCATCCAAAACAATCATGGCGGCTCTCTGCACTTCTCAACAATATTACTTTTCCCAAATAGAATTCCACTTTTCTTCTATCACCGGCTTAGGAATGTAATGATGTGTTTTTAAACTGTGATATATACAAAAACCACAATGCGTGTTATTTATTAAGAAATGCTACCTAGGTGATTAGCATGGTGGTCGCGTTGAAGTCTAAGGAATTAGCCACAAACCAACAAAGAAACACAATTATGGTTCAAAAACTGAAGCCTAATGAGTTATGGCGCACTCTGCGTGCAAATATTAACCCAAAGTTTAATTTAGACGAGTTAAAATTGCCGCTATAATTGGCATGTCACGGGCATGATTTTCCATAACATAAGAACATAAGAACAAAGATAACTGCAGAAGGCCTATTGGCCCATACGAGGCAGCTCCTATCGATAACCCCCAATCCTACTCATATACATGTCCAACCCACGCTTGAAACAATCGAGAGACCCCACCTCCACTACGTTTCGTGATAATTGGTTCTACAAATCAACAACCCTGTTACCGAATCAGTATTTACCCAAGTCTTTCCTAAATCTAAACTTATCCAATTTATACCCGTTTTGCGTTCTGTCTTGCATTGATACGTTTAATACCCTATTAATATCCTCTTTTGTTATGTCCATTCATCCACTTGTAAACCCCTATCATATTACGTGTAACGTGGTAGAGGTGGGGTCCCTCTATTGTTTCAAGCGTGGGTTAGACATGTATATGAGTGGGATTGGGTGGATATAGATAGGAGCTGCCTCTTATGGGCCAATAGGCCTTCTGCAGTTACCTTTGTTCTTATGTTCACCCCTAACTCTTCGCCTTTCCAGTGAATGCAATTTAAGCTTTGTTGATCTTTCTTCATATGAAAGATTTCTAATTTGGGGAATTAACTTTGTCATCCTACGCTGGACACGTTCAAGTGAATTTATATCCATTCTATAGTACGGCGACCAAAACTGAACTGCATAATCTAAATGGGGCCTAACCAGAGCAAGATATAGCTGAAGAAAAACACCAGGTGTCTTGTTACTAATGCTTCGATTAATAAATCCCAGTGTCCTATTTGCCTTATTACGAACATTCATGCATTGATCCTTTGGTTTTAAATTCTTACTAATCATAACTCCCAGAGCCCTTTCGCAATCTCAACACCATCCAGCTCTTATCTTGTAACTCTATCATCATTACCTAGCCTCAAAACTTTACATTTATCAGCATTAAACTGCATCTGCCAATCTTTTGACCATTTCAAAACTCTATTTAGATCAACTTGAAGTGATAGTGAGTCTTCTTCCATGTTAATTTCCCTACCGATTTTTGTATCATCGGCAAATTTGCAAATGTTACTACTCAAACATGAATCTAAATCATTTATATATATTATAAACAACAGAGGTCCCAGGACAGACCCTTCAGGCACTCCACTAACACCATTATCCTACTCTGACTTAACCCCATTTATATTAACTCTCTGTTTCCTTTGGAATAGCCATGCCCTAATCCAACTTGATATAGCACCCCCAATACCATGAGCCTCTATTTTTTTAATCAGTCTTTCATGTGGCACTGTAACAAAAGCTTTGCTAAAGTCAAGGTACACATCATCACAATCCATACCACTATCAACTGCCTCAACTATGCTGGAATAAAAAGATTGCAAATTTGTTGAACATGAACGGCCATTTGTAACACTTTTTGACACTACTGTACTACTTAACAAAACAAGATTTTGGGTTGTAAAACTTTTAACCCATTATCTTATTTTTTATATAAATGGAGTCAATGGAATCACATCACATTGAACAGAGTTGCAATATTTAAATAGAAATGAAGCTAACAGTGATTACTCCCAGCATTCCCATGGAAAACATACTATGAACAAGGCAAAGGCCATATAGTCTGTTAGTGTTAGACATTGTACTTTCATAAGTTAGTGAACATTCAGTCAAGAGTACTCTGTATGTAAGAAATTATAACAAATTATCTGTATAATTATTATCGTTCATGCTTGGTATCTACTAAAATTAAACAGGTAGTTAAACACAACTCATTTTGACTTAGTACTTTTATTTTGTGCTAATACTTGAGAAGGGTTATATAAACAAAAATATACAGTACCACTTAGAAGAATAGAAATTATCATCAATAATTTTGTTTTACCCCCACTTCCAAAATCAACACACAGTTTGTTTTATCTTTTGAGACTATCAACTGCTAGCAGGTGAACTCACATCACGACTACAAGTTATACAAGCCAAGATATATTGCACAGCACTTGAGTGATGCAGCGGGAATTAGCACACTTGGTACAATGACTTACTTGACTAGAAATGAAAGGTTTAGTAAACAGGGATAAAAACTGTACACAAATACAGCATTTACGACTATTAACTCAACCTGCATGAACGTAATGCAGAAAATTTATTCCTGATATGGTTGGCTGAGGTGTATTAGTTTACAGTATGTTTAAGGATGCAACAGCATACCTTTATAGAACACAAATCTCAATTATATCTGCTTTACACTTATCAGTAATGCACAATATAAGCCTGACCTTAGTTAAATTAGTATCCCAACCCACACATATAAAAAGAAATGAAAGCAATGATGTTTCTGTCTGTCCTGGACCCTACAAATGTTATTACTTTTCTTTACATATGTGTGTGGGGTTGAGTTACTTGTTTCAGTCACGTTATTGTGACTTGCGCTCTGGAATTAATTGAATTAGTGAAAACTGGTTTTTTATTTGATAAAGCTCATTTATTAATACAAATTTTGAAAATTACATTTCGTGCTTAGTGATGTACCAAAATGATCACATACAAAATCAAGATTTGGAATATTTTCTGCAATATATAAAACTAGTGTCCAGTATAATCTATACAGAACTTTGGCACATAATAAAAGTGGGTACATTTTAAGTTACAAAAATCTACAATACTAGTACTACACAACAGCTTGATAAAAATACAAAAATTGCTTAACTTACACTATGAGAATATCATCTACATCTAACCCAGACAAACATAATACTGCTTTCTTCAATGAATAATTTTGAAATACAATTCTAGGTGTCCATTTGTACTGATGATATCCCAAATAGCTATTCTAAATAATATTAACATAGATAACCCAACCCACACATATGAAAAGAAAAGTAAGTGACTACATGAAAATGAAAAAGCTTAGGAGCAGGGAGAGGATTGAAACAGCATCCTGAGTAAACCTAGATGCTCTGACTTCGAAGATTTTCCCATCGATATACTGTATCATGTTATTATGATTTCATTGTATTTTGAAAGTGACGATGTTTCGGTCCATCCTGGGCTTGATAAGGGTGCAGGACAGATCGAAACATTGTCACTTTCCGTGCTTTTCATGTGTGGGTCGGATTATTAATGTTCAGCCACGTTATTGTGACATTCTTTGCTTATTAACATTGAGTTTATTTCCTATCTAGTTTTCAGGGAGTATATTTTCTAGATTCAAAACAACTGAAAAACTTGATAATTTCTTAAAACATTACCCAGGAGAATCTATGGGAATTGAAAATTTCAGAATTTTCAATAATGTTTAACTCTACCCAACTTAACACACTAAAGGTTATGACACACAGCTGCAGTTACACATAATAGCACCTTACAATATTTTCTTAATATACTTCAAAGACACTGGCTAAACACCACTCTGCTTCGAGTACAGTACTGTACTGTATTTTATTTCCCATTGGCAGGGACAGGAAGTTCATACTTAGGCTTATCAAGGTCTCCCCTAACCCAATTATTAACCTTCCCCGGGATGCAACCCACAACAATTGCTTAACTCCCAGATACGTACCTATTTTACTGCTAGGCGAATAGAGGCATCAGGTGAAAGGAAACATGTCCAACTGTTTGTCCTACCCAAGGATTAAACCCAGGTCCCTCAATTATGAGCCAAGTACTTAATAATCGCTACAATAAAGATCTTCCGCACTATTGTCAACACCAAGATTAACTTGAGAATTAGGTAACTTGTGTATTATTTAACAAACCCATGCTTTTATTAAAATCTGTATTCATTTACTAATAAAGTATGCAGAAAATGGCTTCTTTTGGAACATTTTAGTTTCCTCTGATAATGGTCGATAAAACTGTGCAAAAGAAATCACAAGAATGTGATGTATTTAGGAGAAAGCCACATGATGGGATCGAACCCACATCCCTGAACTCCATGTTAAAATCATGTTAAAAACATATGCCTAGAAAAAACATCAAGTGACAGGCTGGAAGCACCACAAAGGGATGATAGTAATCAAGAAGTAATATATTCTTTTACGGCTTCCAATCTCTCAAATTTCTTCCTAAATTCAATATCCTCAGGTCCCCAATATCTTCATAACTCTGATAGATCATGGAAGATATTCAAGACCAGGTATTAACATATCCAGGTCTTCAATATCTTCCATAATCTAACATACGCAGGTCTTCAATATCTTCTATAATCTAACATACCCAGGTCTTCAATATCTTCAGTAATCAACACCATTCCTTTCTTGTCTTATCCCAATTCCTTCCAAGTGCTATATAGTTGTAATGACTTGGTGCTTTCTCCTGATAATTACCTTACCTAACATCCCAGGTCCTCAGTGTCTTCCATAATCTAACATACCAAGGTCTTCAATACCTTCTGTAATCTAACATACCCAGGTCCTCAATATTTTCCATGATCTAACATGTCCAGATCTTCAATATCTTTATAAATCCTTCAGTCAGTCTTACTCGATACAAGACACGCACAGTAAAGTATACATAATCATGCAAGCTTAGTACAACTGCTTCTCTTATGAGATTGTTAAATATGTATGGAGAATTTCTTTAGAAAAAGCTTTACATATTTGATTAGGACAGTGATGTAAATGTATGGCTTTGGGTCAGATTTTGTCTGTGCCACACTGTTCAGAAAACATTTATTTTTTAAATGCCAAAAAGTTGGCTCTAACTCTTTATTTTAACAAAAGTGAAAGTTTGCATAGTCATTTATGACCCTTCACACAGGCAGCTAATGAGTCAGTAATCTTCATTAAAATTACAATATCAGACATTTACTTTGTTTATACAAAGTTTGCTAATGCTATATTAACACTAACCAATCTCATAATCTGAGGATTAACTATCTTCAAGAAAAGCTCTGGAAAGCACTACTCCACAAAATGAGACATCGCCATTATGTCATAATTTCATTATACTGTAATATTACATATAAGAATTACAATCAAACCATAAGCGTATAACCTTGAGCCACTTAAAACAATTATACAGCAATATAGCATGGGTATACTCATTTTTTCACAGATGTACAGATGACAAAATGCCTTCGAAATACCTTATCTGGAAATGCCTCTCTCTCATTTTTGTGATGGTTTGCAAGCTCATGGCCATGTTTCTCCTCCTGCTAGATAGAAACTATATGACAGGTGCATTTTTCTCAACAAAATTTGCCAATATGAGGAAAAAATAGCATTAATACTGAGTATTTAATAATTCCAAGAATGAGTTAAAACTTTTCACATATGTGCACAACTTCAGAATTAGTGCCGTGAGAAAATTAATTATCACGATGTCACCTCAGCTTTTTAATCCCTGCACATAATAAGAGCAAACACATTATACTGCATTTGGAAGTAGGAACATCTTTACAAAGGCAATATCCTTCCGACATATGGATTTAGATGTAAACCTGGGCAGCCTTAGTGTTGCTGCCTACACAAGTTATAAATGAACAATTATACACTAGCACACTGTGTGAGCAAACTGCTAGATAGTGCAGCAGTGTGTGTGAGCAGACTACTATACAACACAGCAAAGACAGTGGCAGTACACTGCTATATAATGCACCTGTACTAAAAAAAGATATACATATACAGTGGTACATTGGTTTTCAAATTTAATTCGTTCCCAGAGACAGCTCGTAAACCAAAAATTTGCAAACCGTAACGAATTTTCCCATAAGAAATAATGTAAATCGAATTAATCCGTTTCACACTCCTAAAAATATTAAACTTAAATACATTTCATACATAACACACAAATATTTCTAATAATGTATAACTATAGTACTGTATGTACAAGCTATAGCTTATTTTTATTGATGACTCTTGTTGGTGTGAGGGGGGGCAGGAGACGTGTTTGGAAGGGAAGTTCCCTTCCATTATAACATCAGGCAGTGGACTTCTCTGGGGTACTCTCTGACCTACATTTTGCCTACATACCACTAGGACCTGGTTGTGGCTCACTGCTTGTTTGTCTCACCAAGAACCTTTCCATAGAGATTTTTTTTTCCTCAATGGTCATCCTCACATGTGTGTTCTTAGGTTGAACCTTACCACCAACTTTCTTGCAACCCATGGCATGGTATATAATACAGTAATTACTTTTACATTTAGAAACCAAAAAAGCTGAAAACAATGAAATTCTTTGCAAAGAATTCAAGCACGATTGTCACTTGGCGGGAGGTACTGGTAAACTGAAGCGCAGTAGCCCATGCCACCAGGAACCACGTGCTCGGTCAACCCATGTGTGTATCAACAAACTCGCAGAGCGAGGCAAAGCTCGTATACCGATTCATATTTTACGAAGAAATTGAGCTCGTAACCCTAAAAATTTGTAAAGAGGGACGTTCGGCAACCAAGGTTCCACTGTATAAATATTCTAAAAATAAACCAATACTGTATTATTCTTCAGTTACTCCTCAGTGATTCATCAACAAGCTTTCATGAAAATAAATCACACTCAGATATAACTCATAAATTTCACCAATATATTCCAATACAGTATAAATACTGCATTATATAAAAACTATCATTCTGATTTTTATAAACATTTGACTATTATAATATACTCAGCATAATAATAAATAATATTAATAACATCAATAATAATACAATAATAATAATAATAATAATAATAATAATAATAATTATTATTATAATAATAATTACTATAGCTCCTTGAATACAGAAAATGTCCTTGAGATTCATACGAGATAAAAGCAGCACACGTATATAGGAAGTATTCTAAACAAAAAAAAATAAAAAAAATAAAGTTACACAATAAATTGCACATATACAATACTGTATTTTGCATCTTAAGCTACTCAAATTGGATTCAAAAATAAAATTCTAAGATTCTGAAATGTATTGTTTAAGAAAAACAAACTTGCATGTAGTATAGGAAAGTGTTTACACTTGTGAGTGATGTGCCCTTTTTTTTCTGTTCTGCTCATGCAAGAGGCCATGCTTGTGCACACACACACACACACACATGGTGTGACAAGCAGTGAGAAAGGTGGGAATCTCTCTCACTACTTGTTCTCCACAAACTTCCATTTCATATGGGATTATGTTTTTATTGTATTTAAGGTACAGTATTTATGTAATGAAGATATATTATATAAAACACGACTTATGGACACATTGTAGTTCTGACAAGTTTAGCTTTGCACATTACTGTATAATTTGAATAATAGCCTCATTTAGCAAGATATACACAGAGCACTGAAAGGGGTAAATTTTTATTTATTTGTAATCATCTTTATTAACATGACATTACATATAACTCTGTCCATGACCATCTGTCTTGTTCAAAACTAGCTACTGTAACCCCCTCTATATGTAGGAGGGTTAGAGTAGCTAGTTTTGAGTAGAGCCCTAGAGCCCAGCCCTAGAGTAGCTAGCTCACTTAACTTGGGTGTTTGGCATGCAAAGCTAGCATTTGTAATTGATATGGAGATACTGTAAGAGCTCAGTAACCTGAATCTTCAGGTAAACCAAATGAATTCCTGTTCACTGTTTTTGAGTAAATGGTGAGAGTAAGCACGTAAACCATGAAAATGCAAGAATAAAACACGAGTGTGACTCATAGGCTGTGGTACAAAAAAAACTGCGAATTTGTTAAAATTTAGACATTCCTGCAAGAAATTTGACCAAGTCAAATATTCTGCTAACTCAAACGGGATGGGGGGATGGGGAGGCCCATATGATTCAGATTACTGAGTTTAGACAATGCTTTGTTCTGATTCTGGTACAGTATTTGGATACATAATTCTCCTGTGTCATCCTACAGATTGGGAATAATGATCTATCTGCCTAGATCCATAAATTTGAAGATTAACAAATTTATTTTCTAATGACTTTACATATAAGATTTATTCCAAGTCTTGCATAAAATATCTTTTTAAATATACTCCAATAGCTTATTGGAACATAAGAGTTCTTATAATTGTTGTGATTTCTTTCTATGCATTTTTTGGGGCACCAATGTCCAATAACTAGAAATTTTGCCTTATGATAAAGGAATGCAATGCTGCATTAAAAAAATTCTGTAGCATTTTCCTCAATCATGGCATATTAGTCTATTACTTAGAAAATTTGCAAACTCTGAAGTACTATGAGGTCATCCCAAGGTCATTATTATGGTGGTTGACCTCCAAGCACTTCAGAGCACGTAAACTATTTAATGAACACAAACTAAGATGCCATGATCAGGGTAAGTTGTACAGATCTTTTAAGTGGCCACGTAAGTGAACTCTGGCATAGGATAAAAGTAAAAGAGCTGTGCTTTACAGTACTACAGTAAACAAAACAATTATCAGAATTATATATTAAATAAAAGTACAAATGTTTTTATAGCTATAAGCCATATTAACCTAACAAACAACAATGAATGTTTTGTCTATTGAAAGGCCTAAGTATTAACTACTACTTTCTCATGAAATTTCCATATACTTGTCGATGGATTCACTCACTATGCTCTAACTCATGTCTAATTCCTCATTCTTTATCCACGTACTTCTTAGTAATTCACTCACGCTTGTTTCACACTTATTCACCACAGTTATTATTTGCTAATACTTATTAGCAAATACTGTACATACATCAGCTACATCAAGTACATCTAAAGCTTTGCAAACTTTGATACAATCATCAACATACGTGAATGCAATTACATTTTAACATGCGAGCTGAATTAAATAATTAAGCCAGCCAATATGTGATAGAAAACTTGAATACTGTATACAGTTCATGTGAGTTAATAGCATTCTCCTCAATAGACATGCCACTAGCCAATGCAGACAGTATCGCTCCTCGCCAATACACACACACTACCATTTCTCGTCAATATTACTCTTCTAGATTCCATAAATATCTGTAAATAAGTGTTTTGGATCATTAAAAAGAAATTGTAGAGGATAAAATAATGATATGCAGATACAATCAAGCATAAACCTCATGCTAAGTGTGATAACATACAATAAAAAAAACTTTTTGACATGAAAGCTTTGTTAATACTGTAATGAAATAAAAATAAATGTATGTAACCCAAACATTGAATGCATGATAAAATCATAAGATTGTGATGTATTGAGAAAATATTGAAGTCGTATGATGGGAATGAACCCACATGTGTACTTCAGGGATATAGAATCAATCCCATCATACAGTTTTTCAATATTTCTCAAGAAGATGAAAACTGAGAAATAACAACACTCCAGCAACCAAAACTGCGTATGTGAAGGGTGGCGTCAACACCACCACATGCACAATAGTTCTTGGAGCTACACTAGTACGTACTCAATTACATTAAAACCTACAAATAAATCTTGTTGTTCTTTTACAATATGTGCTAACTAGCAGCACAAATATAAACTATCTTAAAACTAAAGGTAATGCTTGTGTACAATTTGTGACATGGCAAATTATACAGGGTTCCTTTATCAAGAACGTGTACTTTATATATATTTGAGGAACAGTAAATACAGTATTTAGCGAGATTTCTGCTTCTATTCATTCACCAATTCATTGGTCCCTTCCATGGCATTTAATTAGTTTTCATTCCATTTTGCTGCTAAGATATGGGATCCATGGTAATCATGCTATAAATACTAAAATGCTACATGCATTTTTATAGAACATTTATTATTTTGATATCAGCTAAAATTTATGCATCTTAAATCTCACTTAACTTGGACCCACAATACAGAATCAGTCACTTGGTTTATTTTGCAGATTGAGATCATTAAAAGCTTATACATACTCTTAAAATCAATCATAAAATATTTTTAAGTTTTATAATGATATTTCCCAAAGATAATAAAAATTGTTGCATGGAAGTTCTCTTCTGCAAAAACCTTACTTTGCTGAGCCTATCATAAATCCATTTGTCAACACCTAATAAAATTGTATCATTTTAAAAGTATAAGTTTTTTCTTTTTACTCTAAAACAGTACAGTCACTCATTTCTTCAGCATCACTCTTTTTTCTCTCTTCTTCCATCTCTTCTGCGTGCATTGGCATTCGTACGACAGTCTTCTCATAAATAGGATTTTGGAACGTATCAAATTTGCGTCCCAGCCCTAGCCTAACTGGGTATCTTTTACGATATACAACGAGAGAAATAATAGAGACAATTACAAGACCGGCAAGACCTATGGCACCAATGATGATGTAAAGAGTCATGTCATCTTCGAGATCAAAATTAAACAATCCTGCAAAAATTCCGCCTTCTTCAGTATCTCCATCAACCAAATCTTTCCCGGAAGAATCCGTAGAATTGACTAAAAATAAGTCTGTAGAATCATTACCATATGTTTCCAGACTGGTGACTGGCTTATTCATGTGAAATTCTTCTTCAATCAGAGGTACATCTGCTACATCAACAGGTTCTTTCACAGAACCTTTGTTGTTGTCCTTGCTACTCTCCTCTGGTACACTCTCATCAGGAAATATTAATATGGGCTGGAAAAAGAGAGAATATTAAAAATATGGACTAATATTAAATCAATTGAAAATTTGAAAAATTTAAAACTGGGTATATACAGTAGATGTAAATAATGGAACAAATGATAAAATGCACAAAATGTATTAAAAAAAGTGGGTGGCATAGACTGGATGGCAATAACACTTGCAAATGACAGAGATGCAACACTAGGTGAACAGATGCATCAAACAAGCACAGTACAGTATCACGAAAAAGTGGCAGAATACTAAACGACTGAAAGGAGCAAATAAACAGTAAAGAAATACCTGTACAAATTGCAAGTATTGTAGTTAATAAGTTTAATGAGCTTGACCCAAAGGTGGTAGAAGCAACTACCATTCACAGCCTCAGGAGTAAGTATGACTAGAGTACTGGAACACTGGGACATATAAAGCATCAGGAACACTAGCTATGAGCTGGGGCTCTAGAGCTAGATATCACCCCCTCATACACACACTACTAAGTAAGTGCTCGTACACTCTCTCACCACAAGCTTAGCTTTCATCTCATAGCTATACTGTACTTGGGAACTTACACGCGTATTCAAACACACTACACACGCAGCATGGGTTGCTTGGAGATTTTTAAGATATTTTGATGTATCAGATAAGCAGTGGTAACACCACACTGGCAGAAAGCAGTTCAAGTGATTAGGAAGAGTCAGATATAGCCAAGGGTTATGAAGCAAAGGTAAAGTGACAGTACTGTTGTAGAAAACAAGGTGGGTTGGGGTCAGCTGCCAAACACAATGAATAAGTGCCATGCTGGAGGGATGATTCCACAAGTGTTAAGTGCATGACTGTAAAACAACAAACATAGCAAAGATCAATAGTTAAGAATGGATATGGGGGAGAGAGCCAGTGAGAATAAAGCAAAATTTAAGGAAGAATACTGTAGTAAGAAAAGGAATCAAACAAGTCTAGCAGTGCCTCACAATGAGTTTGCAAACATTGCATGCAAGCTGCCATACAGGATGATCATGATACCAGTGTTGTACAGGAAAATTAGAGGAGGAAATTACAACAGCACCCTATTGATAAATACTGTAAATACTTAAAATAAATGTAAAAAGTAGTAAATGAAAAATGAAGGCCAGAGGAGAAATCAGAAAAACTGGAAATATTGAATAACGGCAAAAAGTATGTAACCGATGGCATCTGACAAGTGTTAATATAGTAATAATAATAATTTAATTAAAAAATATACATATGAACATGATATAATGGTTAATTACGCGTTTAAAAAAAAACATTTAATAAAGCCACTAATATATAGTTTTTGCAGTTTTGGATGAAAGGTGTAGGTCACACATACGTTACATGTGCATATGAAGCTATTAGTGAGCTTTTGTGTGCAGCCTTTTTTGTTGCACAATAAACACCTTGGTATATTGCATAAAGAGAATGTTGATACAGTAAGCATTTTTACACCAAGATTTGAAGTGCACGGGTGAATTGTAACAGTAAGCGGATTAGAGAGAATATTCCGCAGGTCTACCGTATGCTAGGAAGTGTGTTGGGCTTTCACACACATCACATTACTGCATTATACAATTTTCCTGTCTATAATTTTTGTTTCATTCTGCTGCTTCGTACAGCAGTTTTGTAGTACCGCAGTTTGCATCCTTATCTCACAATTGAGGATCCTGGGCTCGTTAGCAGGGTGTGCCAGAAATGGTTAGGAATGTTTCCTTTCACCTGATGCTCATATTCATCTAGCAGTATACAGGTACCTGGGAGTTAGACAACTGTTGAAGTTAGCATCCTGGGTCAATAGTTCACCTAGCTGGGACCTATACAAGCCTAACAGCCTTCCTGTCCTTGACAACGGGAATTAATTATGTGCTGTATTGATGGCAGGAAAGTGGAGGGAGCATTAAGTATTAATGTTCAAAAAGGTATTTTATTAAGTGAAGAGGTGAACGAAATATATAAGGTCTATAATAAGATAAAAATAAAAATTCCATACACATTATCCTGCTTCATTTGCAAGGTTCTTTATTAAACTTCTTCCAACAGCATAACTCCCCCTCTTAAGTCAAGAGGGAGAGGGGGATTATGATAGCTAGATGAACAAAAGCATCAAATGACAGGAAAAATTGCCCAAACTCTTTTGCCCTACTACTAGAATAGATCCTGGAACCTTTCAGTTGTGCCACGCCTACGCTTACCACTGCACCATAGGAAATATAAATTGTTTCTAACTCTCGTTCACTCTCCACCTTAAATTCCCACACCTACTGTGCAGTACTATTTGCCAATACCTGTAGACAGTTTCAAGAGTTCTACTATCCAAACTCAGGGTTGTCTGGCAAAAACTATATCAGTAAGATTGTTACTAGTATTGGCCTGCAGGGTCATTTATGTACTGTACCTGGATTGTACCTAAATGGGGTTCTGGGAGTAGTTCTACTACCCAAGCCTGGCCCCAGGCCAGGCTTGGGTAGTAGACTGCATGGACTATAGCATGGACATAGCCAGACTGCATGGCTATGTAGTCACTACATAGACTATTAAAATATTTTAGTTCAAACGGCCACTGCTCAGTGCCAACTAAATTTACAAGCCACAACCATGAAGAATCCTTTAGGGACATACATTTAGATTAAAACAAATAAATGCAAAGTATTAATATAAGCACTTTAGTTTTGTTGAACTATTTTATCCCTTTAATAAAAGTACAGACCGGGTTAGTTGACAGATGTGAGACTACATGCCGAAGAGCAAGAAAGGAGACGCTAAACCGAGCTTCAGCAGCAGTACTCGGTCTATACCCTAGAGGAGTCAAATTTGAGTGCAGGGAACAGCATAGAGCATGTGATGGGTGTTGAAGGTACTATGCAGCAAGGTACTTAAACAAAAAAATAAACTTCTTGAAGGAGGATTTGCACAGGAAGTTTATATTTTTCACTCACACCAGTACTTGTCTTTATGATGTATTCTGAGCAAATCAAATAAATATAAAATAAATAGGCAACTGATTAAATATAGCATGTATGAAATGTATGACAGCCTACCTTGGAATCCAATGTGCCTATTTGCTGTTTATGTAAAAAGTTATATATATTAATTTTTTTTTAGGAAATGCTAACATGTATGAACAGCTAAAATTAAGATAGATTATTATAGTTATACAGTACTGTATTTAATTTCAGAGTAGATTACAGTACAGTATTTTTGAAATGCAAGCCACAATAGTGTGGGCAATAACATTTCATTCACTTCGATTATCGAGGATCTGAACTCTGGGTTGTACTGTACAGTACAAGTACTTGTACTTTTAAGATCCGAGTTAGAGTCCCCAATGATTCAAGTGACTGCCACAGATTACTAGTGATTATATTTATGTGACCATCAATTGCTCTCTGTGTGTTATCGGGTTTAAGCGAGGACAATACTGTACAGGGGGGTCCCCGACTTACGAACATCCATGTTTTACATACAGTATAAATTGTCCCTAAAACATGGGATTTATTTGTTAATTTTTGGTGGAATAGGAACACATCCTCAGTCTAGAGCATTGTGTCTATGGAATATCTAGTTGAGAGTAGAGATTTTATGAATGGCCAACTTGCAAACGCCTTTTCAGAATGCATCCCGTTCATAAGCTGGGGACTGCCTGTATAGTGCAAGTGCTCAGTGTGAGCAAGCAAGGGAGCACTCACCATCTTGCCCTGTGGGTCACTGTCGGCAGAAGGAGCAAGGAAAGTGCCATTTTCAGAGGTCAAAACACTGACATTCACACTGTCCACACTTTCAATTGATCCCATGGGGGCATCAGACATCAGTTTATCCTGAAATGCATTAAAACTTGAAAATTTACCTCTCTTCAAAAATTTATAAGAGATATATTTGCTGCTGTCACTCAAACAAAACATTGAATCACAATATCTGATGCATCACATTCCATCCCTAAAAAAAAACACACACACAAATGTTAATTCCCAACAATATATTTGATGCACTGGCAGGCAAACCATGTTAAGAAAACCAGCTAACAAGCACATATCAGACAAACTGTAAAGCTACAATCAAAAGCTTTAAGCTACACCCCAACAAGCACAGATCAAGCACCAAAGAACCAAGTCAAATATCACAGAAATCTTTGAAAAAGAGCAATAAGAAAAACAGTGACTTACTTGTAACATAGAATAAGTCACAATAATGTGGTTGAAAATTAATACCCAACCCAATTATATGAATGGAAAATGACAATGATCAATCTGTTCTAGACCATTATCAAGTCATGTCTTTTCATGTGTGTGGGTTGTGTATGAATGAATTATTTGTAACACTAAATTGCACCAAAATAATATTACAAAACATTAACATAAACGTTTTATAAAACACTGTACTGTATAACGAGAAAATATTAAGGTCATACAATGGGATTGAACCCACATCCCAGGACTTCCCATTATACTGTATAATGTTAAGACTTTTGACAGCTTGAAGTACCTGACATGTACAATACCTGGTCTGTGCGTGCCAGATACTGACCTGGTGAATCACCAGACTGTTTGCCTCCAGAATAATGACATTAAATGATACTTAGACAAACACGCACTACAGTACAGTACTTACTACATTATTTAGTGTCCTTAGGCAAATTTCATAACAGACCAAATTAAAAATTTTGCAATATTATATAAGACTGAAATATTGTAGTCAAATTTATATTAGTACAGGTACTACACAGTACCGTACTAATAATAGCTTTAAAAACTATTAATATCGTCAAAATAAACTTTTTTTTTCCCATATAACTGGGCAAAAAAAAAAGATTTAGCAAAATTACGCACAAACCCTGCAGTGGACAGCAAACCCACGCACTACCCGGCAATAAGATGACTTGAGAGGAGTCATCTCGTGTACAGTATATCTAATCCAAAGACAAAAGTTAGATTCCCATTGTTGGGGACAAGAAGCCTGAACTAAGGCAAAGCACATTGAGGTTCCCCATAGACCTTCCCAAGGATGTAACCCACAACATCTGCCTAACTCCCAGGTACCTATTTTACTGCTAGATGAACAGATGAAGACAACAGGTGAAAGGTCCTCTTAGGCCAATTACCGACCATTCCCAGGATGATACCACACAACCATTGTGTGACTCCCAGGAACTTATTTACTGCTAGGTAAACAGACACATCAGGTGAAAGGAAAGTGCCCAATCATTTTTGTCCTACCCCAGGATTGAATCCAGGCCAAGGACATCAACCATTGTACTACAGAATCCATACAAGGTGCAGTAGGTTATTTACCATTCAAGCTGACCTCTAATATTGTGGTTTTTGGATAAATATGAAACACATGAAGCTGAAATGAGAGCAATTACTGTAACAGCCGATGCAGTTACTGTAACAGCTGATGCAATTACTGTGAAGTATAATAATTCCTAATTTAATAATAATACTGTACTAACAAAAATAATAATTCATAATTTAATTTGTTTTGGGGTCAGGAAGCCTGTATATATAGGTACAGTGTATACAGTATATACAGTACTTTTGGCTTGCATCGAGGACCCCTTCCCCCAAGGTCAAACTACTGTCCCTCCCCAGGATGTAATCCAACAACAGTTACTTTATTTCTGGGTGCCTATTTACTGCTAAGTGAACATTATTTACTGCTAAGTAAGAATTAGGTGAAAGGAAACATGCCTAACAATTTTTGTCCTGCCTGGGAATTGAACCCAGGATTTTTGACTGGGAGTTGAGAATTAAGCCAACTGTACTGCGAGACCCTCAGATCAATAAATATTTCAAGAAAGAACTAAACTGAATACATTATTCCCAAGTTGTAAAACATAACCTGAAAAAGATAAGAATAAATTATAAGAATTATGAGCTTTATCCAAATGATAGCACTCACCTTATTAAGACGAAGGCAGACGGGTGGCTCATCCCAAGCTCCATTATCACAATAAAGCTCTATGGGACCAAGAAGACTAAAGTCCTTATCACACATATAAAGGGCAACTGTGCCAGACTCAAGGCGCTTGAATTCCACACTTCCATTTTCAAGTGATGGTGGAAGAAGGCAGAGATCTGTCTGGGTGCTTATAGACAATGACCCCTTTTTGGTGAGCTTGGTAGAACTATGGTACACAATAAAAACTGTATCAGCATCCGTCACCAAACTGAAATGATCATCGTAAGTTGGGCACCATTCAACATCCCATTTTGGGTTCATGAGAGATTCTTCAAAAATTGTAATATGAGGCCTGATATTTTTTGAGAATCTCAGAGTCACATGTTTATGCTGTTCAGTGTTAAGCTGCCACACACATGCCTCAGATGGCATAAATGGCTGAAATTTATGCTCAATTTTTTCACTCATTTCATCTGAAGAGATTATTCCATTTGAGCAAGTTGGAACAAGGCAATGAGTTTCCGTACCTAAAAACGTCGAGTTGATAATACAAGTCTCCCCACCTAGGGGATAACTAACCATAAATCCTTCATCACAGTCTGAAGGGGCTTCAATTTCTGGCTTATCGGCATCCATAATTAAACTGATATTAAAATCAGCAATATTTTGGCAAATGCTTTCACCTTCTGAAGAAGGACCAATTTGCGTATTATACCGTAGATATATTTCAAACATAGTACCAGTCTTTACAGATTCACATTCTTGGCACACAACTTTATCACTCATGCCTTCACTTTTTATGCTGTTTACAGTACCACTTTTCACATCCAAACTATCACATATTCCACAATCATGTGTAATGTGACGCCGAACACCATCAACATATATCATCATCGAGGATATTCCCCCAAGTTTGACTTCATTCAGCTTTACTTGAAACTTCAAGCTATTTGGAGCATGATAACACTTGTAGCACAGGTTAGTTTCCACTTCTTGCATATCATCTGAAAGTGCAGTAATGACACAATCAGTTGCTTTGATGCGGAACTAGTATCTGTCATGATGAAATTGTCATACATGAAGGGGTGAAAAACAAGACATTAGTTTTAACCCCTGAATTACATAGCTATTTAAAGATACTACATTGAGGTGTACCTAACTTAAAATTATTAGCAAATCAAACAAGGGGGAAAAAATTGTATACGCTGATTGAAGCAGTGTATGGGTTAATGAAAATGTTCACCTTAATTAGAGAAAACTACTTCCCCTGGAGACCTACTTTTCTGATGTGATGGCCTCTACGTTAAATCTTTCCTAGATTCTTTGAATGACTTTTGTTAATGAATAATTAACACTAGAACATCTACCAAAGAACTGCACATGCTGAAGGTACAAAGGCAAAATGGCTTTGGTTACCCAGGAATTTTTTCTATGGTTTATGACATTTATGAAAGGTACTCGTTCTCCCGCAGATCCTTAATCAATATTCATGCTCAGACCCCAGGCTGCAGTGAGCATGACTTGTAACTAACCAATGGTATGCACTAGGTAACCCCCTGCACAATAAGGGTAGACATGTTTGAGAAAATGGAGCCACAGAAATGAGTCATTGCTGAGGAAAGGGGTATTTCTTTCTTCTGAGAAGTATTTACATGGGCTATGCAGTGGCTAGTGAGCCTAAGTCATGCAGTCTAGACATAAAAACATGTGTATCAGGGACAATTTAAACACCTAAGCACTAACAGAAGCCTGTTAGAACCTCAAAGCCACTGTCTCTCAAAGCCTGTTTTACAACCCAGATGAAGACGTTCAATAAAAGTACAGTACAGTATTATCTTTTAACAAATAATTTTAATCATTTGCTAGATGCACAAACTTGATAATCATTATTTTCTTAATTTTTTACAAATAGTTTAGCCAATAAAATAAAATTAAAACTATTCTCATACCAATAACCAAATAATTATTATTAAATAATTAACCAAATAATAAATATTATTAACAACTATTATTAATCAAATACTCACTAGTAGCAAAGTGGGGGAAGACCTTAGGAATGACACAGTCTTCAGCCAATGCTAAGGAGAGGATGGATAGGATAAGGGCCCCCAACCCTCCCCACACACAAGACCACAGTGTTGCCTGCATCCTGGGCCACCTGTTCCAGCAGCCCATTATTAGTACACACTACATCACACCTGAAAAGAGGGAAATATCATAAATTAATTATAATAATTAATCATTCCTGTTCTCGGGAACAGGAAGCCTGTACAGTATGTACTGTACTTAAGAGATTTTCCCTAGGTCAACTATGATCTTTCCCAGGATGCAATCCACAACAGTTTGACCTGCCCGAAACACTGCGCGTGCTAGTGGCTTTACAAGACTGTAATTACCATATTTGTATCTTCACATTTCTTATGTACATTCTTGTATATGCATAAATAAATAAATAAATAAATAAATAAATAAGTTGCCCAACTCTCGGATACCTATTTACAGCTAGGTGAACAGAAACGTCTGGTAAAAGGAAAAAAATGCTCAAATATTTCTTTTCTCTCCAGGAACCAAACCCAGGTCTTTTGATTGCGAGTCAAGAACATAGACTACTGTACAGCAGAACCTATGTTTTCTGCATTAAACTACAAACTACTTTTGTCTTTTACATGTAAATCATACACATTGGCCATGTGTGTGAAGCAATCAGCAATACAGTATAGAATAACCCAGATTTATTAATGGGATGAAACACATTACAATTCCGTGGTTAGAGTCTTGTGATGTAAGATTATGTTAACGGTGCTTAACCGTTAACGTAAGTTTTGTGGATTCACATTTTTAATCACAAATACTTAGGCCTATTAGAAAGATATGGTGTGGATCTGCTTGCTTAGTAAATGGGTAAAAAAAAGAAGGTTCTTTGAATAGCACTTAAGTCAGTTAGCTTTCTAATATCCAGACTATTTACTATTTAGGCTATGAACAAATTAAATTACTAGATACTACACTTAAAGTGTAGGACACTGAAGTCATAACCTTCAACACTAGTGCACTGGCAGAGTTCTGACCAACCCATTGGTCTAATACTATTACACCACACTACCTAATAATCTCCAGTACATAAAGGATTGATATTCTATCAACATGCAGCTTAGAAAGATTGAACGTCATAATGGGCGACATTAAAATTCAGTCTTACACTATTCTAATATAATTTGTATGCTACAGGTGAAGTAATGAGTTGGGAGAATTATAACGATACATGTAAATTCCAAGTCTGACCTGCAGACAAATAACTAGTGCTCATAGATAACTCCAAAGTACTGTACCTATTTTACTGCAAGATAAACAGAGGCATAAAGTGAAAGGAAACATGCACAATTGCTTCAGTCCTGCCTGGGTATTAAACCCAAGTCCATCTGTTGTGAGTTAATGTAGACCACTGTGCTATAGAAACTTGACACATGCACACACATTACAGCTGTATTGACAGTTGTACAGCCCTGATAGCTAGAAAGATTACCAAACAAATATCTTTTCATTTTGTTTTGGAGGACACTGCACCCTTTTACTGCCTGAATCCACTCAAAACATTTAATTATTGGGACTGTTTAATATGTTAGTCTACATTCCTTAGCACACAGGTGAGAGAGAGAAACACTTGTGAAATATTAAAGGACTGGTTCCAAATCTACACACACACAAATAACTTCACTGAAGACCAGGAGGTATGGCAGAAAGTACTAAGTAACCTCACTGAAGAGCAGAGGTGCAACAGGCATACTGAGAGACAATTCTACCAACATCAAGGGGCCAAGGCTGTTCACCATCCACTCTCTACATAAATGGGAGCCAATACTCTTATGGTGTTCAAGAGAGAACTTGATAAACACCTCTTAACGTATACTTGATCAACCGGGCAGTGATTCGCATGTAGAATTTGAGTAGCTGCACCAAACAGTCTGGTTGAGCAGACGATTAACCAGGGAATGTTGATCCTTGGAACAACCACAAGGTAACCACAAGATAAGGTAACCTTGATATGACAGAATGCAAAGAGCAGGTAGCTGACTTTCATGTCTACATTTCTACACCTAAAACAAAAAATAGAAGATGAAACATTAGGCTTAGATTATTGCTGTGTTAACTGCTTAATGAACCTAATGGAATAACACTTCAACAGACACAATACAAGGTTATACCAGTGACACATGAAGAATACAAGAGTACACCAGTGACACATGCAGAATACAAGAGTATACCAGTGACACATGAAGAATACAAGAGTACACCAGTGACACATGCAGAATACAAGAGTACACCAGTGACACATGCAGAATACAAGAGTACACCAGTGACACATGCAGAATACAAGAGTACACCAGTGACACATGCAGAATACAAGAGTATACCAGTGACACATGCAGAATACAAGAGTACACCAGTGACACATGCAGAATACAAGAGTACACCAGTGACACATGCAGAATACAAGAGTACACCAGTGACACATGCAGAATACAAGAGTATACCAGTGACACATGCAGAATACAAGAGTATACCAGTGACACATGCAGAATACAAGAGTACACCAGTGACACATGAAGAATACAAGAGTACACCAGTGACACATGCAGAATACAAGAGTACACCAGTGACACATGCAGAATACAAGAGTACACCAGTGACACATGCAGAATACAAGAGTACACCAGTGACACATGCAGAGTACAAGAGTACACCAGTGACGCATGCAGAATACAAGAGTATACCAGTGACACATGCAGAATACAAGAGTATACCAGTGACACATGCAGAGTACAAGAGTACACCAGTGACACATGCAGAATACAAGAGTATACCAGTGACACATGCAGAATACAAGAGTATACCAGTGACACATGCAGAATACAAGAGTATACCAGTGACACATGCAGAATACAAGAGTATTACCAGTGACACATGCAGAATACAAGAGTATACCAGTGACACATGCAGAATACAAGAGTATACCAGTGACACATGCAGAATACAAGAGTATACCAGTGACACATGCAGAATACAAGAGTATACCAGTGACACATGCAGAATACAAGAGTATACCAGTGACACATGCAGAATACAAGAGTATACCAGTGACAGACATAAGTTAACATATCATGGCCTTCATTTCCTCTCTGTGAACAGTGGCACAACAGTGGTCACAGTCTCACATTGGGTTCAAGCACTGTATACCAATTTTTTTTCAGGCTAAGTCATTTACATTTGAAGTGAACTAGATGTAAATAGATTTCCTTTGCCTCAAACCTGTGATAAAGTTAAGAAGGAAGTCATGTAGTTATATTGCTCTATCTATTGTTACAATACATGGTCATAAGGTAAGCAAGGGAGATCTGCAGACTGTGCTAAAGCTTACAGACAAGTGGTCAATTCCTACACAAGATAGTTCAAGAAAGGGCATTTGCCGATTATCAAAACACAGTATATCGTTAGGTTGGTTAGGATGTCTTATCTTAGGTAGTTAGGCTCAGATGTGACATGACCCCTTATAGATAATGTGCACTATCTACAGAGCACAAACTTGGGATACTTGGCTAGGGTTTTGGATATATGTCCTCGAGGACTATATACTCGTTCATGTCTTAACAATTAGTGGTAAGAGTTGTGTTTACAGTCTTAGACAGGAGGAAGGTTCCGTATCCCAATGACAAAGACAATGGCACTACACATGCCTGGCGAGGCCACACAAAACGCCCAAACACAATTATTGTATCAATACAAACCCTCAGATCGGGCCCAGGTCAGAGGCACGGCAAAGCCAGAGATTGTGTGACCCTCCACGACCGCCCACTAACACCCACTGCAGCTAAAAATTGCAAATAAGTAGAGCAATTGAGGGTGTGAGAAGGTGCCAAGCAAGATGGTTCGCTCTCCCACTCTCACACCTCCACCATCACCGCCCACAATACACCCGCAGGAGCAAGGTTACTGTTCATTCTACCTCCCCTGTACATTCGGAATGCAAAATAGGGTCTAATACCTGCAAAAATTACCCAAGAAGTCCAGTCTTCAAAGTGATTCATTCAATTGATTATTCGCAGCACAGTGCCCAATTGTCTCAATGGTTCACTATATCCGTGTCTTACAATGCATACAAATATTCATAAAACATTTTAAGATAGATATACTTTATCTTTTTTAACTAATAGTAACTTAATAAAATAAACAAAATAGAAAATAAAATAAATATATTTGGAAATGTTTTCTATACATTAAATATATAGTACATTATTCTCTGCTTTATGACCGCTATATAATGCACACAACCCTGGCGTAGGGAGTGGTTCCTCATATTTGTCAGAATGGAATACATTTTTTTTATATTTACGGACAACATTAGTATCCATAAAAAGTAAAGTTGAATATGCTTTCATTTTTTTATGAATATTATTACTTGCATATTACATATTAAAATACTTTTAGATTATTTTCTTAGTTTTTCTGGTTAAACTATTTATTTGTAAGTAACAAAAGAAGAGTAATTACGTTCATTTTGGTGTTGCAAAAGTGTTCAACTGTGTTTTTGTTTGTTTAGCTTCCATCGGTAAACTCACCTGTCAGTTCCGCCTCACTCTGGCCTTCAGTCAAGTGTATAATAACAGTAATAATAGAATTATATTAGCAAATTCATGCATATATGTTAAGTAAATATAATGGTCCTATATAAGAGATATGAAGATGTCTCAGTTAGCCTGTATATATATACAGTCTGCTGTACAGTATTGCGAAATAGGGTCTCAGTAGTAGAGTATTTTGAGTGGGGAGTCCGTATAAACAACTGTGCCTCTACCCTTCACACCCAATTATTTGCTTTGCTTCTTGCACTGAAATGTGTACAAGTCTCCAAACTTGATACATTAACTGTAAGTGACTTTATCATCCTTAATTGCTAACTCTTTAAGACATAACTGTAACATGCTCGTGTCTGAAGCTAGACACAAATACAACACAATTATTAATGATGGTAACAGAGTTCATTTCATGTGGACGCCATCTCATGTTGGCCTCCAAATGCATGATAGAGCTGATGAGTTAGCCAAAGAATCTGCCTTTAAAGGAGAAATTGAGTGTAACCTTGGATTGTTAAGGAGCAGTCTGAGAGCAATAGTATACCAAGAACTTCAACAAAATCTTGTAGATCCGAGGCAAGTAAAATAGACACCAGTAACTCCATCTATCATCATACTGTCATGCAAGAGGAGCCACACATCTATGGATCAACCAATAAAATCATCAGACTTCTAGATGTTACTCCTGCTAGGCTTAGACTCTGTTACAAGTAGCTCTGAGAATTCTCATTATCTGCTGATGTAGACCTGACTAGATGTAAACTGTGTCAACAAAATTATTCGCACACCCTCCGTCACTATGTGATGGAGTGCGAAAAGATACGTGAATTCAGAGACAATTCTATTTTAAATGTTCCAAAGATGTGTAAATATTTAATTAAAAATGATCTGGTACCAGAAATCTTACCCAAGTATCCCCAGTTTGGTAACTGTAGGTAGTAACCAAGTGATTGTAACCTATCCACCACCGCCCACTGGATGGGGGGCGGTGTGCAGGTTAAACATATCAATTGTGACACACTAGCTCTCCACATATGTCAGTTGCTTAATTTAGAAACTGTACTTGTGGTCTATCTCTAACCCATTGATGATGTGACGACTTATATTGAATTTTGTAACTAGCTCATCAAGATTGCAACTGTCTTAGCTAAATGAAGTGTGGGGTTCAGTCCCTGAGCCCATTATGTGCCTCTGTAACCCTTTCCACTACCCCCCAAAAGATGGGTATGGGGTGCATAATAAAAAAACTAAAACTAGTACAATGCCTACGTTCTCGACTCACAATTGAGGATTCTGGGTTCGAGTACCAGGCGGGACTGAAATGGCTGGGAATGTTTCTTTTCACCTGATACCGCTGTTCACCTAGCAATAAATAAGTACTCGGGAACTGTTGTGGGATTGCATCCTGGGGAGGGTCAGTAGTTTAACCTTGGAGGGACCTGGATACATGCCTTATGTATATTATGACGAGAAAAATAGGTGTTAGTGGAGTCTCTAACATACACATAAAACAAAAAAGTCGCATAAAACAAAAACAAAAGCAAAAAATAGTTAAACTGCAAGTTGTCTTCACGCTGAGGTAACTGTAGGATAAGACACGAAACAAATATTCAAAAATACTTTACTTTGATAGAATACTGACGTTAAACAAATTACAAAACAAAATAATATCCAGGCTTGGCTCTAATACAAAGTGTGCAAAACAAACAAGATGAACAATCAAATTTACGTTAATGTGCAAATAAAATATGGTGCTAGACTGAATAACTCTGTTACCATACCAAGATATGTCAACAGGTCTACTCAGTAGAGCACTCATGAGTAATCTGAATCCTGGTGGGCTAGGTAGCCCTATTTATATGGAACGGCGGCCGTCCAGGTGGCGCTGGTAGTCTTGGATAACTAGGAACCGGCTCACGTTAACTGCTTGTTTCGGCTGATGGCGTGAGCTCCTGGCGACCAGGTGAGGTGGGGTGACGGGCCGTGGTGTTGGGGGGAGACTGGTGGTACCGTCTAGACGTCTGCAAAGTAGTTGTTGTTGCTCTTGTGACTGCAGTTCTTGAATATATAGACGTGATATGATAGAACATGATGGAGCAAGACGAATCTCTTCCTAGAGATTTTACCGTGACAATATATATACAGAATACACAGGCTTCCTGTCTCCGACAAAATGAATGATTATTATACAGACAATTACAATATCACAGTCTGGTAGATGTTTCATAATGTTCGTACATATATAGTTCTCAGGTTTAAACACATAACTCTTATGGTAATTTCTGCCATATTAATAGTTTCTTGATATAGTGTGGTTTTGGTAATAAATACAGAGGGATATATACACCGAGAGATGTATCTCGCTCCTTAGTAGATGTAAACTGAGTTTACTCATGGACTATGTTATGAACTACTAAAGTATACTTACTGGATACTATTGTGGTGGTCTTAATAACCCTCCAGAGGTTGATGGGCCTTATGCCCAACACCAAACCAAAATAGAGACTGGGATTTTCCTAAATCACCAATTTTATGGTGTTATATATGTAGCTTTAGCTGCCTTATCTATAGCATGCTTTTGGGATTGTCACGCTCGTTGAAAAAGACTGTTGGGGCTGACAGTCCCCAAGTGGGCTTTATGTATATAAAGGTGTAAAGATACAAACGACATTCATCTCTTTCAAGACGTGTCGTCTGGTATTGGAAGAATTCTTCTCTTGGAGTACATGGTCACTATATTATGCACGAGGCTAGCAGCTATATGTTTCTGTTGACTGTCTCTCTCACAACTTTTTTCCCCTTATCTTGTGACCAGTTGAAAAGAGGTGCTTGTAATAGTTTCAAAGTTGAGAGGTACAGTAACACTGAGCTCTCCCTCTTTAGAACAGTTCAACTACAAAAAAAAATACTCAGGAACAATTTGTGGAGACCTTTGACAAGCCGCTGGCTTCCCGTTCCCGTCGAACCCGCGATGAAGATGGTGGTCCTCATCCAGAAACAAATTCATAGACACAGACTAAGCGAAGGTATATATACTAGAGCGCGATGTTTCGTGCTGACGAGGGAGATAATACGTCAAGAGCGCGGGCAAGATGAATATAAAGAAGGCAATTTTTGTATTTGAGTATTATCAGTGTCATGTAGTTTATTATGCGCGAGGCTGCCACACCCCAGCAGGCACATGTGGGGGGCTACGACGTGCAATCAATTGTCGATAACATTGATGTAACATTACTCGAGCATGTTTTGTCAACCTGAACAACGAAATTTGTACTATTCTTATGTTGTTATAGCTTTGTAACAACGTAATAACATTTTAAAATCTTTTACATTATGCGTTTTCACATTTACATTGTACGTAAATGCGTCAGTGTGCTTTCGCATTTAAATTGCGTTTTTTTTTTGAATATATATTAAGCTGGCACGCACTTACAGCAATTACAACGTGACCACAAAGTTATTTTTAAATGTTAATGTTGTTACAACCTTGTAAATACGCAATAAGGTCAAAAACGTGTGTTTGCCGGCGGTGGGAGAGTGGGCGGCCGCTGTCACCATTGCTCAAGGTACAAGCACCACAGCCTCACACTCACACTCTTGTTCTCGTAAGAGGTGCACTTGGCCAGGTCCTGGAAAAGTAAATATATTACACAGCTACAACTCCACCAAAGCCGCATTTGAAAGTTTAATTGGAGGACATAATTTGAGCGAATTTTTTGTTGTTGACAAGAGCCGAATTATTGTTAAGTGAGGTGTGGCTGGAGTGTGGTGTGAGGTGAAGTGGGGTGTGGCTGTAGTTTGGTGTATGGTGTGGCTGGAGTGTGGTGTAGGGTGTGGCTGGAGTGTGGTGTGAGGTAAAGTGTGCGGTGTCAAAAAGTTCAGGATGAAAGTGTCTCTTTTTGTGAGCCGTTAAAAAGAAGCATGTGTGTGTAAACATGCTAGTTTTGGACTGATAATCATTTGGGCTCGGTCTACCTACGTTCGTAGGATCAGGATAAGCCCGAACAATTAAAAATGTAATAATCCAAAAGTATTATTATATTTATTACTAATCGAAATTTAGTTGTTTTAGATTAAGCTGCTTGGAACACAACGTTCCAAGCAGGATATACTATGGTAAGCTACTCGTACTTCTCGAAATTTAGGATAATGTAGATATTATATAATTACTTCCTGAAAGCATGTCCAAGTTAATATACTTTGTATATAAATATTAATATATTTTTCAATAAATCATCGTGAGTCACTTTATTATTATTACTCTTATTATTTGGCATTTTTCTTTATGTAGTTTGAAGTGATTTCTTAAGCAATTCACTGTAACT